CTCTCTTCCACACACACACACAGACACAGACACACACGCAGTTTCCTTTTTACTATAGGAGCGAGATGGCAGCGGGTCCTACGGGTGTTGGAGCCATGGCAGCGGGCAAGTTGGGGGGTGAGGCGCTGGCTTCGACCAAGGCCATGCGTATTCATGGCAAGTGGTATGATATGCGCGGGTTTGATCACCCTGGTGGGCCGATCATGCTCTCCCTCGGTCAAGGTCGTGATGCGACTGCCCTCTTTGAGGTGAGTGAATCGAGTCCTTTGGATATGTCATAAGAGCGTGAGTGGGACACGCGTCAGCGCTCAGAGCCCCGTCAAGACGGGCCCGTCAAGGCGTTATTTGGGCTGCCAGGGTGTGAGTGGTGGAGGGAGGGTTGTGGTATACCGTTGGGAACAGGCGGGCAGACGGGCAGGCGGCTGCCAAATTCACCCCAAATGCAAAACCGTTGACATCACGTGCCAAGTGCGCTTGCGGCGTAATTGGCAGTGCCAACTGGTCCTTGTGTTGTCCATCCCGCCCTGGTCCACCCAGCCTGTGCCTGCACAGCTTTCTGACACCCTGCCCTTCCGTTGTGCGCCCGTGGGCCTCTTGGATAGGTGCACCACCCCTTCACTTCCAGGCCCAAGCTGGAGGCCATTCTGGCCAAGTATGAAACCAAAGAGCCGTGCCGACTGCTCGACGAACGCGACACGGGAGAGGAGTTTGAGTGGCCCGAGGTGGAGCAAAAGGACGGGGGTGCCCGCACCGAGGCGCCCATCTCCGATTTCGCCTTTGAGGTTCGCCAAAAGGTCCGCGCCTACTTTCAGGCCGAGGCCAAGCGCCGCGGCGTGTCGTTGCTCGCCGCGACCAAGGCCACGCCAGCCCGTTGGCTCGAGTTGGGCATCCTCTTTGCAATCTTCGTGGCCACCCTACCCGGCTGCTTCCGCGGTGACCTTCTTGCCCTCGTTGCCATGTCCATTACCTACTGGGTGCTGGGCGTCAATCTTCTCCACGATGGCAGCCACTTTGGCTTGGCCCAGGATTGGCGCATCAATGCCCTTGGTACCTACTGGGGCTGGTACTTTAGCTCGCCCCTAGAGTGGTACCATCAGCACGTCATTGGCCACCATGTGTACGCCAATATTCCAAACAAGGACCCCGATCTCTACCACAATGCCAGCATGGAGCGTCACACCAAGACGCTTCGCTGGCGCCCCATGCACGCACACCAGGCCTTCACATGGGCCCCCATCTGGATCATTGGTACCTACGCTATGAGCTTTATCAAGCCCGTCCAGATGTTCCTCACCGGCGAATACAACCGCTCTCTCAAGATGATGGAGCTGAGCCCCTCCCGCGTCACCATTCACTGGGCTGGCCGCGTCATCACCTGGCTGCTCTGCTACGCTCTCCCCTTTGTCATCTTCCCCACCTGGAAGGCCTTCCTCTTTGCCACCCTTCCCGTCACCATCACCTCCGTCTCCTTCATGCTCTCCTCTCAAGTCAACCACCTGACCCCTGCCAACGTGGACCAGTATGACTCGGACTTTTACAAGCACCAGGTCATGACCAGCCACACCATTGCCCACAACAGCTACGCCACCTTCCTCTTCACCGGTGGCCTCAACTACCAGATTGAACACCACCTCTTTCCCACCGTGAACCACTGCCACCATCGCCACATCCAGCCCATTGTCAAGGCTGTCTGCGATAAGTACAGCGTCCCCTACAACTACACCCCCACCCTCTACGGTGCCTTTCGCAAGTACCTTGATCATCTGGTCGAGCTCGGTGTCAAACCTCAGGCTGCTCAAAAAGCCGAATAAACGCCGTGTACTAAACCTATGATCGTAGTTTCCCGTGTTGTGCTGTCAAAACTGACATGGGCGGTTGTCTTTTCTTCCGCCGTGTCTCGCCTTGTCTGGTGGGCCTCGTAATCGCCCCCCACTGTTCTGTCGTGTCCGAGCCTTGAGCTCGTCGCTCTGGGTGTGTTTGTCAGTGGATGGATGTGGCCTGTACGTGTCATGGTTTTGTGCCGGCCTTGCACGCCCACGTGGTGATTGCACAGTCATCTTGCCTCTGGGCCATCCAGATTGGTGTCGTTTCCACTCAAGTGTCTTTGTGCTGTTGTGTGTTGTGTGTTTGTCTCTGGAGGTTTCTTTCCCTCTCCCGTTTTGAAAGCCGCTTTATATCCCCTTCCTGTCCCGACATATTTGATGCTAATGAGCCACATGACACGCCAATGCACACGCACGCGCCCGGGTTTACAAGGTTGTACGGGAGGTGACACACCAGACCACCAAAATGCATGGATTGCCGTGGCGTGACGGTCCCAGCATGTCGACGCAAAAAGTCTTTACTGCAGTTGAAAGAAACCTTGGTCCATGTAGTACTTGACCAGTTCCGAGAAGCCGCGATCAAACAGGTCCTTGGCGGCTTGGCGGAATTCGCTGGCAGCCAAGGCGTAAAAGGGGTAGTAGGCTTCTGCCTGTCGCCACAGCGTCGCGCTCAGCACAGAGGCAGCGCATTTGGGAGAAGGTGCCAAGAAAGCATCGGGCATCAGCAAGTTGACACGCTTCGAATCGGCCGTCTCAAACTTTTGCTGCATGGATATTAAAAAAAAAAGCAAGAGGTGCGAGCCAGCCATGGCCAACGTGAGCGTGGGCTTGAGTGGCGCATATCAAATCCATCAGCTTTGAGATTTGGCCCCTGGCACGTTGCAAATACTACTGTTTTTGCTGTCATCGCCACTGGTGTGTCGTGGAGATGGTGAGTTGTGCTTCCAGATGACATACCTGCACTTCGGTGGCGATGCCGCCGGGAAGGTGAAGCGTGACGCTGACGTCGTGACGAGCAAGTTCGGGCCGCAGGGTGTTGAAAAAGCCTTGCATGGCATGCTTGGTGGCGCTGTAGCCGGCCTGGTAAGGGGCAGGAATGCGGCCGTAAAAGGAAGAGACGGCGGCCAATCGGCCGCGCGAAGCCTTGAGCGCGGGAATGGCTGCATGTGCGGCATATACGTAGCCCCAGTAGTTGACGTCCATCACGCGGTGCAACGAACGAAGGTCTTGGGGTAGCGTCTCAAACTCAGCCCAGGGGCCTGCAATGCCGGCATTGAGAATGAGCGTGTCAATGCGTCCAAACCGCTTGAGAACGCCCTCCACCAGGGCAGAGCCGGCTGCCGGGTCGGCAGCATCATAGCTGACCGTGTCCACTTTTGTTTGTTGATTGATGCTCTTACAATCCTCGGCCACCGCCACCAGCTTCTCCTGGCGGCGTGCTGCCAGGACCAGCGTTACGTTGGCATACTCGGCCAGTTGGCGAGCCATGTCAGCGCCAATCCCGCTGGATGCGCCCGTGATCACAACCACTTGATTGTCAAAGGTCAGGGCCTCTGGAGCAGCCATCATCTCATACGGAACACCAACGGTAAGCCAAAGTGCTCCCAGCGTAGCGTGGTGGGCGGCACCATAGGCATGGATGCCGGCGGTGGTGACGGCCGCCAACACCTCCCAGCTGGCAAACGGCGCCGTGATCAACCCCACGGCGAAAAGCACCGCCAAGATCGGCCCCACAATGCTGCAGCAACCAACACCACGAGATCCAGTCCCCTGCGACGGGCTGCTTGTCGCTCCCGACGCTGTCTTCTTGCTCTTACCCGCCATCGTCACAGATCTAATCAGCTCGGCCGCCTCCCAAAAGTCCGTTCAACGAAAAAATGAGAAAAAAAAAAAAGAAAAAAAAAACAATTTCAAATGGTCACACGTGCGACACTTTTCAACGTCATCATCATCAAAAAAAAACCAAAAACAAGAAACATTTTAAAAAACGTAAGGTTTACACGCTCATACATCCGATGTACATGTACTACATGTAAATCATGACATTGTACTGTTCAAACTTTAAAATCTATTCAGCATGCCAGAATTTAATCTGTAGATCAAGCAACAAGCAACGTTAAAAGATGTAAAACATCATAACAACGTTATAAGCTTTTAAGCTTTTAATTAAATTTTTAATTTTTTTTTTACGGCAGTGAGGGGAACATGTGGATGCTTTGGTTGAATGTCGCGGCTGCGTTTTGGCACAACGTGCGGCAGTTGTTGGGCTTGGCCAACGTGGCAGGTGAGCGGGGGCCGCTCTTCTTTCTCCTTGCGGGTCGGTTGCCCATCGTTTGGTTGTCACGACTCACAGCGTCTGCCATGGCTGGGTTTGCACGTAGCCGGACCACGCATCGGCTTTGATCACGTTCACCAGGTGCGCAACCCGGACCTCTTTCTCTTCTGCAACTGTGTTGCAAAGTGCTGGCTCCATCACCGACTCGACGCGACGCATGCATTTTTCTCAACGCTCGGTGCTTGTAGCCTGTTGATGGGCACGGTCCAAAGCAACTGGAGCCATGGCGAAGCTGGATGCTGACGGTGCAAGACTTTAACGTGAGTTTGGTCTCTTGTTCATGCCCTGGGCCAAATGATATTCACCAACCCGAAACAGCTCAAGCCATTTGCCATTCCATGCCATTTTGCGGCGCAGGTCCGGACGGACGGGACTGAGCGCGCGGGTGTCGGGCGATCCAGCGCCACGGTATCACCTGTCTCTTGCACTGAGGCTGGGGATGCCACCATTGGTCCGATGCCGGCTGCCAAGCGGACCAAAGTTGCGTCGGCCGCTCCTGCAGTGCCCATTGAGCTTCACGGTTGGTACTACCGCTCCTGCAGAGGCGGTGACTCAGGGTCGTTGCTTCATTGACCTTTTTACGTTATTCAGGTTGGCTGGCAGCACTGCCTGGAGAGCGCAGCGGTAAACTGGTTGGCTTTGTTTTGGCTTCGGCTCGTCTACCTGTCGAGGAGCGTGTCACCGCTGCAGATCTGGAAGACCTGGAGCAACCCGGTCGTCAATGGGAGCTGCGCGGCTGGCTTCGCAGCAAAGACTCGGCGACTGCCGGATCCGGTCTCGTATACTCGCTCTTGGTTGATGTTGATCAGCATGCCCTCGGTCCGGTGTTGAGTGCACCTGCTGGCGCTTCACAGGGCCGTGGCAAAGCTCTTTCTTATCAGGCTGATGTGGAGGTGCGTGCCACCGGGGCCAGCCAGACAGCTTGTTTTTGGTGCAATCCTTGACCCGCTTACAGTCTCGGTTTTTGATGAATTCTTTTCATTCTATTTTCTGTTCTGCCCTTGTCCTGGGTATAGCTGCAAAATAACGAGGGCTGGCAAGAATTTGTCGTACCACTTTCCATGTTTCGGCCCACATCCCGTGGACGCACGGTTGACGGTGCCCCAACCCTACGTCCCGATCTTATCACTGGTGCGCGGCAATTTTTTTTGCATTTGGAATCCCCATTGCTTCCTTCTTTACTTCGCAACGTGAGCCAATCTCTCATCCGGGTGGTCTACACATGTTGCGCCAGGTGTGGGGCTGGCGCTGCTGCGCAGTCGTCAGCGCTCGATGGCGCTGCCAGGCACAACCACCTCTTTTGCCGTGACATTGTGGCCGGAAGTCCAATTAATCTAAGACAATGGAGCGTTGACAACTTGCTCTTTCTTTTTTCTTTAATTGGCTCCGTGTTGTGATGCCCAGCGCAAGGCTGCGCTGTGCGCCGCTCTCCTTCTCGATCAATTCATATTAATCTTGTCCCAATGTTGAGCCAAACCCCAAAAAGGGTTGACTCCGACCTATTGCGAGGGAGGGTAGCCCGCCAGCATGTCTACCGCCGCATCGTCCGTCAGGCGGTCCGCAATCAAGAGCTGAGAGCGAAGGGCCACACGCTCCACGACGTCAAGCACGGCCTTGTCCAAGCCCACAGTGACCATGTCCGGGTGGGCTTGGATCCAAGCGGGCTGCCAGCACTTGCGCAGCGCTGCCTTGGCCTTGCCCACCAGCGTAAGTGAGGTCAGCGAGCCATATTTGGCTGCGCGCAGCGCAGAGACCATGGGCAGCAGCTCTATGATCAGCAGCTCCATGTCAAATATCCGGGCCAGCGGAACGCTCGTATAATCCTGTGTCAATGGAGGGTGCGTGGGCCCAAAAGAACGCGGGAGTGAGAGACGACGGGACCACGAGGGATCGATGGCAGAATGGCAACGGTTCACAACACTTACCGCAAAGTGAACCACGATGGTCACAGGAGTCAGCAAAGCTGGGTATATCACGCGGTAGCAGCCATAGCCCAAGACGTAAAGCAGAGGCTCGAGGAGCTGCAGGGCTAGAGGCGAGAAAAAGTCATTCTCAACCAAGTCCACGTCGTTTCCCATGCAAGCTCGCGTGATGAGCCGAGTCACCGGCACCACGTCGACGTCATTGAGATCGCGTGCCGCTGGAGCGCGCCCAAATTGGATCTGACTTCCGTTGCTCACAATGGCCGATGTCGCCGCACGACTTGCTCCCGAGCCACCAGTTGGTTGAGTTGTGGTGCTCGTGGGGTCAAAATCCGGCGACTGCCGGGCCAGTTTGTGAGCAACGCGAAGCTGTAGCTGGCTACTGCGCACCAGTACTACCGTCACGCTGCGAACCATGGCACGATGGCGAAGTAGGGAAAGGAAGAAGGTCTCGAGGTTGGGCAAAGGGGCTTCGACTCTGATTTGCACGTGGACTTGGATATCCTGGAAGGCGGCCAGCGCCGCTAACGCTGCCACAAGGCCTTGGCGAGCCCAGTCCTCGTCACCCCGACGAACGCGACTGTCCAGCAAGGCGTACACGCGTGGGCTCAGGAAAATGGAGTCTGGTAAATCAGCCAAGCTAGCCATGGTCTCTGGTGGCACTTGTACCCCGAGTCGAAGACCACGCAGTTCCTCCCCCATGAGATGGAGGAGAACTTGATTCAGCTCCTCAGCGGGTACGTTGTGCTCTGTGCGGAAGCGCACTGCAAAGCGCTCAAAATTGCTCAGGCTGGCACGGAGCGCTGTCATGGCGGCCGCAACTGCGTCGCGCAGCTCCAGAGCGGAGAGAAGCTGAACTTTGCGTGGGGTATCCGGCACGTTTGGGCCACTGCTGGCGGAAGCGCCGGCAGAGTGTGCGCTCGAAGTTGTTATGCTGCCAGCCCGACCACGGCCAGAGGCCGTCAGATCAGGCGAGGCACATAGTTCAACGGTGACGGTGGCACGAAAAGGGTCGACTTGCCAATGTGGTCCCATGAGCGTGGGTGGGGGTGCGGATGCCTCTGTGCCAGGCGCCGGGGGTGCTTGTGCCGTTGGGTGACCGCTGATGGTAAGGGCAGGGTATACATGGTCAGTTTCCGTTAAAAAGGAGAAACGGCCTCGGAGGCAGAGCGTGCGCCAGGCCACCGCGGCGCGGCTGTGCATCAAGGCGCGAACGATGCCGTGATGCTGGCATCGAGCCGAGAGCCAAATATTGCGACCTTCCCCATCTATGACGACGGTGCCCGGCAACCAGGCAGCTTCAAAATGGAAAGCAGAGCTGGTGGAGGGATCTTGGGTGTGGTGAAAGTGGTGGTGATGGAGAGCGCGGTGGCGTAGGAGCCGACAGGCGGGGCACACGGTCCATGTTGAATAGAGCACGGTGTCTTGAGGCCGCTCAAGGAAGCTCGCCAAGATGGCACTATCGGCTAAGACATCGAGCTGCAGGACAGATTGTAGCCAAGCGTCCAATTTGATGGTCCGTTCTGCAGTCACGCTATCGCTGTAAAATTCGGAGAGAGGAAGACAAGGTCATGGGCGCGCACGGTTGAGGCTATGCACCAGCGCTGGCTTGGCGCCGCGCACACGTTTGACTCCGCCTTGAATGGGCTGACCTTGTGTTGGAAGCGAAGAGGCGCTTGCGTGGAAAATGTGCATCCACCTCCTTGGGAATGGCGCTGCCATGCCGGACCCGTAGGGCATGGCGCAGAGCGTCAAACTCCGAGTAGCGTTTCAAGAGCACACGTGCAGATTTGGCGCCAGAGTCCTGGATTTGAACCTGATACTCCTGCTCGGGTCCCAAAGTGCACGGGCAAAAATGAGTACCAATGCATGCATGTGTAGCTGGTTGACCAGGGCGCGCACAGGCTCAAGGGTCTGGGCTTGGTCTCGTACCGCCACGACGGCATCGCTAGTGCTCGGAGCAGGCTTTGCAATCTTATCCGTCGACCCGGAACCCGGCGAAGCAGGTGCAGCATCGACACCGTTGCGACTCTCCAGCAAAGCCGCGCCACCATCAGCACTAACATCACCTGCACCAGCCCGCAACTGGCAGCCAATCACCCGCACCTGTACGCCCCGCATCCCGTCGCGTATCCCTGTCCGTGCGTGCCCTCCCCTTCTCCTCCTCCCACAAACAAAATACGACTGCAAAAAAAAAAAAAAAATCAAATAAATAAAAATCAAGAAAAAAGTTTTCTTTCATTTACATGTAATGAAAGATAAAAATAAAAAAAATAAATAAAAAAAAATTGATCAGATGCACCATCGCGACGCGGCGTGAACCTGTCTGTTGGTTGGCCTGTTCTTGGTTGCTGGTTACCATCTGCTACTTGTCGTGCGGGTAGTGCCGCAACTCTCACGCGATCATCTACCCAGTCTACGTGTCCATTCCCACCTCTCTGTATTTGAAGTAAAGCAAAAGATGCGGTCGCTCACACGTGCATTGCGCTCCACGTGCATTGGGGCACATCAGACGTTTTGACGACTGGATTGGAAAAAAGCTGGGGGCTGCTCTTGTGGCAGCGGGGAAGACAATAAACTGTGGGTCAAGAGGTGGTATTGGGCTTGCTCGCCCAAAGATTACTCGGCCTTGAGAATGTGCAAAAGGAGACGCTTGTAGTCGCCGCCAATTTCGTCCTTGATCGTGGGAGCCAGGCCTTTGCCATACATGTCCTTGTAGCGCTCGTCAACAATGGCCAGATCCTTTTCCGAACTGTGTTCATGCAAATGCCATTACATGTGCCATGGTGGTGAGAACGGGGGTGTACGACTGTGACAAAAAAAAACAAAACAAACGAGGCGCGCGCGGCGGTAGGGGCGGAGCTACGCACCGGGTGACAAAGACGCGAATCAGATCTTGATCGGCTGTGCCCATGCCATCGACAGCACGGTGGATGCGCTCAGCAAAGTAGCCAGGCATATCCACGGCTGTTTGGATCAGAGTGACCATCGCAAACTCAAAGTTGCCGCTCATCTCCTTCTCCACAGCGCGGCGCAGGGTGTAATCGCTCAGTTTCTTGTACTCTTCGGCAACCACTGCATCAGAGTCGGTCCAGACGCGTGTAAAACAAGATCAGGTACTGTGCTAGTGCTAATGCAATACAAGGGGTCCTGACACAGAACAACTTACAAGCCAGATGCTTGGGCGAGCGCGTCATGAAGATGCGGTTAAACTCGCTCTAAAACGGGTGACAGAAGAGAGAGAGAGAGAGAGAGAGAGAGAGAGAGAGAGAGAGAGAGAGAGAGAGAGAGAGAGAGAGAGAGAGAGAGAGAGAGAGAGAGAGCGCCCAAATGCGGTTGGCGGTTAGCTGGCAGCAAGGGGTCATGGTGCTCAAAAGGTTCATGGCAAGGCATGTGTGTCGACTCACCTCATCCGTTCCCCAGCTCTGCAATGGTACGTGCGGAAAAGATGTTGGGAAAGCAACACGGTGAGTTTCTATGTTGTCGAGACAGAAATGTGCCTGATCAAACAAGTCTTACCTTCTCGCCAGCTTCAAAGAGCACCTTGGCCTGATGAATTGACACGACAAATTGAGCGGGACAATGATCTTTTGTCGTGAGGGCGGAAGCGTGGCAATCGTGATGGAGCATGTATCTCAAGGTTGGCTTACGTCGTCCACAGCTTGGGCCTCATCACCGTCGTCGTCCGGGCGTGCGCCCTGCAGGAGTGAGATGTAGATGCGCTTGAGATGGCCCCCGTTTTCAGAGGAGATGTCCTCTTCAAGCGTGCGATTGTACTGTTCCTTGTAGCTCTCGACAATGGCCGCGATTTCTTCATTGCTGCGGGAGGCCAGAATCTCAGTGATTTGAGCCTCGTCGGTGCCCGTGCCCTGGAATCATGGGGACAATGACACACGGGCTCATTAGATGAAAGAAAGGAGCACGTGGCTATTCCAAGCAGGGTTAGAGGTATGACCCAGCAGCGCACCAGCATGGCTTGGTAGAGAGACTCGGCATCGTAGCTGCACGTGGGTTATTTGCCAAGTCGGACAAACATGAGTGGCTCGCGTCAAGTTGACTTGGGTGCCGTGTGCATGTGAACAAAAAGTGTCAAAGCGTGGATCTCGTGTGTGTATGTGCATGGGCATGCGAGCAAGGGTCTGCAGTTCAAGTACTGACTCGGCCGGCGTTTGCATCAAGGCCAGCACGGCATCCTCAAAGTTGCCACCAAGTTCTGGAGGAGAGACAGAATGGTTAGGTTGGCTGGTCTGGTGCGGATTGCAGAGGGCCTGTCACGACGTACCACTTTTCAAGTCTGAAATGAGATCGCGGCCATACATGGCCTAGGTCAAAGGGAACATGTTTTAGGACCAAGAGCAGTGAGAACTATGCGCACCCTGGTAGCAGCTGTGAGATTGCCACAGGCTGAGTGGATACCTTGAACTTGTGCTTGAGCTCCTGGCGCTGCGCATTATCCACGCTGCAAAGAATCTGGGAAGCCATCCACAAATAGGTCAGGGTGACTCATGCCACCGTTGTGGTTTCAGGAGACAACAGAGGGCGTACCTCAATAATGGCCTTCTCATCAGTGCCAAAGCCTGTATCCACAAGTATCCACCGAGGCAGCCAAACGACAGGGATGAGTCGGTGTTTCTGGTGTGCATGCCTTCAAACAAGCGCGTTTCAGTGCGAACTGTCACACACCTTTCATGGCCTTGCGCAGACCCTGTCGTAAAAGTAACAATAACAAATCCGGAGGTGTGAACCGTCATGACCGTGCAAATGCAGAGCATGGGCCGATGAGCCACAAGTCCAGCCACCAGCCATCGAGCCATCAAGCCAGCCCAATCGGAGTAGATGCCAAGAGGCATGCGTGTTCAGCGGCTTTGTCGCGGCCGAAGATTCAGCACAGACCACCCAGACACGCCCCTTCTTCCCATCTCTCAGTGGCCAGTGACCACTGATTGCTCTGTACCTTTCCCCAACGCCCAAAGGGATCCCGTGAACGCACCTCGCAGAGTTCCTCGGCATCAAAGCCATCCTTGGGCACGATCGTCGCCATGTTTGCAAGTCTGATGTTTCTGCTTTTCCACTGACACACCCGCGCAGTCAGAGAGAGAGAGAGAGAGAGAGAGAAAAATGAGAGAGGGAGAGTGTGTGTGTGTGCCGGCGCAACAAAAAGGTGTGTGTGCGTAAAGGATAAAGGTGTGTAAAGCGTGTGAATTTTTAAAGGGGGATTAGGTTGATCATTGGCCTGATGGTGTGGTCATTGCTGCTGTGAGGTGTGATAGGGGGACCGCGCAATCGGCTTGGAACCCCCTACAACAACATTTGATCCCAGCAACAGAGCTGAAGGCGTTTTCATCGGACGCTTGCGTGGTCCTCGCACATCGTCACACAGATACCACGCAGCCACACGCATACGCACACTCACACCCACCGTCTCCCGCCAGCGGCGGCACAGCACCGGCTGCCAGTGCCTGGTCCCTCCAGCCTAGACAACTATAGCAGGGTTACCACTAGACTCCTTCTTGTCATCTTTTTTCATCCAGGTACATGACGAATGTTCTGACATTCTGACAATGGATTTTTTTTCTGATGGCGGGCGGGTCGAGGCGCGTGCTGGGGCTGCGCCTGACGCTGGCGTTGGTATTGGGGGCGTTGGTGCCAAGGGCGCCCGGGGAGGAAGCGGTGGTGGTAACGGATGCTCTTGGGAATTTGTACATCAACAGTTCTCAGGAGCATGGGGGTCAGGTGTTTGTCAATGGCGTCAATGTGGACGAGCTGCACGCGCTGGTCAATGCCATGTCTCAGGTTGTGACCACGCAGGCGCGTTTGATTGATGCTCTCACTCCGTGTGCCGATGGAACTTTTCTGGCTCAAGGCGAAACAGTCAGCAGCGCGCGCTTGTGCTCGCCCTGCACCCAAGCCTGTCCTGAGAACCAATGGCTGGCCTCGCCTTGCACCGGGCTGCGTAACGCCCGGTGTGAGCCGTGTACTGCCTGCGACCCGAACAGCGAGTACGAAGCGCACGCTTGTACAACGCACAGCGACACGGTATGCCTCAGCTGCACCGATTGTCTTGAAGACCAGGCGCTTGAGCCTTGCTCGGCCAGGGCGGACACCATCTGCCGGCCTCGCAACTGGGGCTTCAGCCTCGACCTCGAAGCGCCGCTGGCCTGGAGCAGTGGGAACAGTGTGTACCACAGCCTGCACGGGTTTGAGCCAGCGGCGTCGGGCCAACGGCACGCCACATTTATTCGCGCAGAAACCAGCTTTAACGGCTCAACCGCCACGACTGCTGCCAGTCTCGGCTACTACCTTATTGCGTTCAACATCCGCCTCGAAAACCTCACCAACGGCTGGTTTCAAGTCGGGGTGCACGTCAACAATGGCATAAGCTTTAGCAGCAATGGATTGAGTGTGGCCCATGGGTCCGCAGAGATTGCCGCGCGAACATTCACCTCGATCGGCATTGTTCGCTTGGCCCCGAACACCCCCTTTTATGTGGGGGTTTACGCGATCAACGATCCGGAATTTGTGGTTGGTCTCGGCTCTGGCTTGGCGGCCTATCGGGTGCAGCCTACCGAGGGCTTTTATGCCATGCTGACCGAGGAAAATTTCATCAATGTTACCGGTGAAGCCTATCCCATTACCGGCTGGTCTGCGGCGTCACCCAACAGTGCCACGACCTTTGTTTTTGGAGGTGAGCTGCAGGACTCTGTCTACACTGCCAAGGAAAGTGGTGTCTTTCTTGTGACGCTGTCCATGATGTTTGACAATCGGTTGCGGGCAAGCGATGACCAAGATGCTGATCCATGGGCCGCCGACTTTGATCGGCTGCTCGTAATTGTGAACGAGCACGCCACCCACAAAACCCCCTTGCAGGCCATTCGCAGCTGGCCCTATCCACACGAGTTTGAGTCTGTCACCTTTTCCGCCCTGGTGTTTCTGCAGGCTGGCGACCAGATGCGAGCCGGCGGCTACAGCCACTCGACTCGCTCCTTTTCCTTTCTACCTCACTCCCACTTTTCTGCCGCGCGGCTCGAGCCGAGCCTGGCCTTTTGCGCCTTGAAGTTGAGCACCAGCGCCTCGTCCACCTCGGAGGCTTTTGAAGTGACGGGCTGGTCAGACTTGACGGATAGCTCTGGCCTGTGTTTTGATCGCGGTGGCGCCTTCAACGGTACTTCGGGACGCTTCTTTGCCCTGAAGGCAGGGTTTTATTACGCCACGGCCACCATCCGGTTAGACAACCTGATGAATGCCTCGCATGCAACTGTCTCCATCCGCTCAAGTGCCGACAGCAACGCGTCGTCACATGAGGCCAGTGGACTCTCTGCGGTGCGCACCCCCTTTGGTGGCCTTAACCTTCGCGTCGAGTCGGTCAGCGTTGCCGGACTGCTTTACCTTGATGAAGGCGATTATGCCTCGGTCTGGGTCCATGTCCAAGGCACGCAACTCGCCTTCGAGGTCAATCAAGAAAGCAGCTTCAGCATGGCGCTGATTGACTAGTCTGTCCGCGTGCGTCTTTGATCGCGGCCTGTTGTTGTTTTTGTTCTTTTTTGTCTTCCACGCAGCCTTTGCTGAGGTAAGCGGGGAATTGGTGATGCCAGCGTTCCAGATCATTAATTATTGCATTTACTTGGTCGGCTTGACAACCCGTGTCCACTCTGTATCAAAGCCCGACTCCGCCCTTATCAGCGTGGACGTGAATTGCTCACAGCTCATGAATGGAACGTGGAAGCTGAACACTTCCGTGGGCAGTAGCGTTGCTGACGCCGACGTCAAGTCGCTGTGCAATCTGCAATTTACATGTTAACGGAGAAGAACCACATACAGAGCTGCTTGCCACGACAACAATGATCTCATCGCCAAAGTTTTCTGTGCATCACTGTGCCAAGCATGCAGGCAAGCCAACTACCGGAAGAGAGCGGGATTGAGATGCCACCGTCACCGCATCCGCAGCCTCGTGGGCCACGTTGAGATGCCGCATGGGCTCACAGTCCCCGAGCCAAAGCAGTGAGGTTGTTTTGCCAGTCCTCACCGGGGCGAAGAAGATCACCTCCTGCGGTATGGCGTCCATGGCCACCGACTGGCGCTGGTCGAAACGGGCAGGGGCGTGGGCCTTGAGCTTGAAAGCGGGTGCGATCTTGAGAGTCGACTCTTTCCCAGAAGGGAGCAGCGAGTTGGAAGAGCGTCCAAACTCAAAGTTGAGGAAAATGCCAGTTCCACGGTGCGTTGTTCCGTGTTGCGAGCCGTTTGGCGCGAGTGCTTGTATCGCTTTGAAGTAAGTTTCCGGGGGACAAGCGGGGGACAGGCCAACGATTAGCTTGCAAGCTTTGCTTGTAAGCTTCTCGCTTCAGCAATGCCAAAAACACCTTGATGCAAAATGAAACTTGTCGAGTACACACACGAGCAACAGATCGTGGCAGCTAGGCCCCACCAGGGGAGCCCCTTTCCGGAATGATACTCAATATATTGGGTGTCAACAAGACTCAAACAGGGCAGCGACACATGGAGTCCCGCCATATCTGTACACACCAGGACAGCCTCACACTCTGCCTTACACATACTCTCTGCTTGACTCTCACACTCTGCTTCACACATACACACACACACACACACACACACACACACACACACACACACACACACACACACACACACACACACACACACACACACACACACACACATACACACACACACACACACACACACCTTTCTCCAAAAACAATACGAGCAAACCCCACACACACATTCTCTCGCGCATGCCAAAATAAATTATTTGTTGTGTGTGCATGTGCAGTTCGTATGTGTGTGTGTTTGTGGGTGTGCGAGTCGGGAACTGGCATTGCCGCTGTGCCGATCGGTGCGGGTTGTGAAGAGGCGGTTATCAGGTGGAGGTCGAGGGTCATCGTGGTGTAGAACGACAGGTGTTTCTAAGCACAAAAAACGCACTGATTGAACTGCAGCAGGATGAAGTGTAAGCGTCATCGGCTCGATCGATCATCAGTTAGCTCGGCAATCACGCGCGCCTGCTCTCATCTCATGTGCTCGGCTCGATACAATAGTGGGAGACGCGACGCCCTCTGACTGGGACGATGAGCTTGAGTTTGAGCCTTTGCTTGGCGAATCAGGCGAGGAGGAAGAGGAGCACGTGACGACAACAGCTCCGGCAGCCATCTTCAATCTGGCAAACACCAGTACGACCTGTCATTACACTTGACACCTTGTGGAACAACACACGGGGCTCACGTACTCTGTCTTTGACTTGGTGCTGCCATGTGTGCTTCGCAGTTGTCGGTGCGGGCGTCTTGGCGTTGCCCTTTGCCTTTCGTAACACGGGTAAGACTAGAGCCTACGGTGCGCACACTGGCGCCTGACCTAAACACCCCTCAGACTCACGACTCTGTGATCGCCATGTCGCAGGTATCGTGGTCGGACCGACCATCCTCGTCGTAGTCTACCTGCTCGTGGTTCTTTCCTGTCGCATGCTGGTCACAGCAGCCAAGTTTGGTGGAGGTTTGTCCGTTTCGTGTCCACTGATCCCTTGTTGCAGCTGCCGCCCCCTTTTTTCCAATGATTCCCAGCCAGCTGAACCATTTTTTTTTTTTTACTTTTTATTTTCAATTTGCCAGCCCGTAGCCTATCGGCTGTGGCATACAATAGCTTTGGTCAAAAGGGCGTCATCGCAACGCAAATCACAACCTTCATCTCCAGTTTTGGAGCATGCACTTCCTATCTTGTGATCGTCGGTGACATGATGTCCCCCCTGATTGGTAAATATTTGACTGCTCGTGACGTGCAAAGCTCATCTGAGGATCAAACTCTCGAGCTGCTTTGCAGGCTTGCGCCACCATGCAGATTGCTCCGATTACTGCCTTCCGTTCTCACATCCAAGCTGATGTTGGACACTTTTCTAGGCAACTGGATGGGTGGTACCCCGGCCGACTACTGCAGCATTTACGCGCATCGGCACTTTAGCATCAGCCTAGCCTTGCTTGTCGTTGTGCCCCTTTCTCTCCTCCGCCATCTTGACTCGCTCAAGTACACTTCGTACTTTGTCAGTTGTAGTCTTGAGCATCGCACTCACTCCTCGATGGCTTCATGGCGACCCAGTGCTCATCCAATTTCGCTGCCGTAAACCGGATGCAGGCGCTGGCCATGATCCTTTATCTGGTCGTGGTCGTTGTCATGCGATCACGTGAATCAATCATCGAGGGTCCGGGCGAAGACGCCAACTTTTTCAATCTGTCTGAAAGCGTCTTTCGTGCCCTGCCCATCGTCACCTTGGCCTACACCTGTCAGATGAATCTCTTCAGCCTCGTCACGACCTTGCACAATCCTACGCGTCGTCGAGTCCGCAACGTCACGACAGGTGGGTCAGGACATGATACAACTCTTGGTTTGACATGGCACGCGCGCTTCCCGAACGTCTGATTTGCGTGTCCGTTCCATCTTCATGTCCTTGCTGCTCCTGGCGCCCTTCCCCATAGCCGCCCTCACAGTGTGCATGCTGATTTACATTATTGTGGGAGTTTTTGGCTATCTCACCTTTTTTGAGGAGACCCAGGGCAATGTCTTGCTCAACTACGAGGTTGGCAAAGCGCGCGCAGCCCTCTGAACCTCTTGTGCTGCCCACAACCTCCCTCGGGCGTTTTTGCATCTTTGCCCCACGGCACAGCCTCTCCTCTGACGCCTTCGATGGGTGATCTCAGGTGGACGACAAGTTTGTCATGGTTGGCCGTCTCGGCGTGGCGCTCGTTGTACTTTGCAGCTTTCCGCTAATGATGCACCCCTGGTAAGCTCTTCCACAAGCCTGCTGGGATTGCCAAAAAGTGTCCACAGAAAAGCTTCTCATTGCAGGCTGGCTTGTGTCCCCCCTCTCTCGCCGCCTCTTCACACATACATACACAAACACACACAGCGGGGACATTGCAGTGGAGATGCTGCTGCCTCAGCGCCGCTTTGACACCTGGCCGCGTGTGGGTGTGATTATCACCATTATTGGCGTGGCTTATGCCATTGCCATGACGGTGACAGACGTCAGCCTCGTCATCGGGCTGGCTGGCTCGACGGGCTCGACCTGCATCTCCTTCATCCTGCCCCCGCTCTTCATTCTCAAGTTGTATCCCGCACCCTTGCTCAGCATACGCAAGGTGTGTATGCGCGCGCGCGCGCGAGAACGGGCGTGGGTCCCTGTGACTTCCTCCCCTTTGCCATCACCTGCTGTGCTGTTAGATTTGACAGTTGTGCTTGTGCTGTATGGCAGGTTGTGGCGCTGGTGATGATGATCATGGGCGTGGCTTTTCTCAGTATTAGCACAGTGGTCACCATTTTGGACGCCGTCCGGGTTGATGACGAGGATTTAGACTTGAGCAGCGTCTGCAACCGCTCTGCCCTGTAGTTATCAGGCGGTGCGTTTGAAGGCGGCACGCACCGGAATGGCAAGCTGCAAGCACCGAAATGGCAAGCTGCAAGCGACCCACTTATTAGAACGGTCAAGGGATTGCCGATGGAGCATACTATGTATGCTTGGCTTTTGTGTGTTTTTGGGGTTGGGATTGTGTGCCGCGCCGCGCGTATTGGCAGTTTTGGCACGCCGTCGGGTTTGTTTTGTTTCAGATTAGATAGATCGTTCAAGTGGTGGTTTGATTACATCAGTGACTGTGAAGGCATCCCAAAGCCGCACAAATTGATCTGTGGCGCCAAGCGCCCACAAACCAATCCCTTTGCAAGTCGAGCAGGGCTGGCGCTTATTGCGGCTCCGTTGCAAGGCTGGTAGCTGACTGTGGGCCGACTTTTCGAAAGCGACGACTGGCCTGAATCAGCTCCTGTGGCCGCGCGCTGTCAGGCGTGCGGCAAAAGTTGAGGTGCTGTGCCAAAGCTCGATGTTCCGTAAACACCCGATCGCACTGCAGGCAGGCCGCTCGCTGCCCGACCAGGGGCTTGAGCATCTCCAAATGTTGCTCCATCGGCCAATGATCAGGAATGGCTTGTCCACAAACGGGACAAGGGATCCAGTGCACATCGGGAGAAGTGAGCGCCTGGGCAATGCTTTCTGTGACTGGGCCCTGTGGACAGCGGAATCGTTGGCATTGCAAAAAAAAAAAAAAAAAAGGTGCCGCGTCAGACGTCCGAAAGCAAGTGTTTGGGTGCATTGCAAAGAGACGCCAGTACAAGTTATGGCCGGGAACAACATACACGGGGGCCTTCAGCCACATGGGCAGAGTGCTTGGCGACACGGTGTTGCCACAGCGCAACGTCATCAGTAAACAACTTGTCGCAGCTGGGGCAGGGCAAGTTTGCTGTCCTGCATTTGTCGGATCCAAGCAAAGGTGGGGGCCACGTGAGATGAGGGGTCTGGTTTGAAAGAGCATCCAAGTCGTGTGTAGGCTACCTACCGGTCGGGTTGCCAATTCTTGTACTTTTGCAGTTCGTGAACTTGGCGCGTATGCGTCTTGACGCCACGCGCCGACGTAAAGATTTTGCCACAGTGCTGGCAAGCGTGCTCTGATCCCGTCGCTTCTGTTGCTGCCGCCGGAGCCGTGGCGACGGGGGCCGGGGCCGGAGCAGCATCAACAGGGGCAGCCCGCCGCGCAAAGGCGAGCAGATTGCTGCGCATGTCGTTGCGGTGATGAAGCTGTGTGTGGCGATTTTGAAACGACTGGGCATTTCGGTTGCGCTTAGTTTCGTAGCCGGGCCAAGCGCGCGGCAAAAAGCGATCCTAAGGTGTAGAAAAAGGAAGAATCGGGGGAAACAAAGAAATTGAAACCACAATTGAGGGTGAGCCTGCGGGCCTGGGCCAAGTGGCACAGAAACGCGATGTAAACATACCCGTAGAACCAGCTCAAAGGACTTTTGTGCAGCTTGGTGGATAATGTCCCAGCGATCGACTTGACCCTCGACGAGGCTCACGGTGACCCGGCCGTCCTGCGGGAGTGTTTGCTGCAGACTTTCAAAAAGGTGCGACATCAAAAATCGATGAAGGCGGAAGTCCTCCTGGCCTACCTCAGCCGGAGCGAGCCGTGGTGCGTGGTGAGATGCGGGACGGTGCGAGCTGGGTGGCAAAAAGACTGAGGCTGGGGTGGGATGGAAGGGAGGGGGCGGCGAACCCAAGTGGGGATGGTTCCAGCCAATGTGATGCAGAGAGATGTTGGCAAAATGTTGATGCACTTGCCACGCGTTGATGCAGTGCAACACCTAAAGTCGGAGAGTGCATAGGGACATTAAGCCAGGAGGCCCAAGGTGAGGTGAGACGACCCGCAGAGGATGGGCCGTCGGTGTGTGTGTGTGTGTGTGTGTGTGTGTGTGTGTGTGTGTGTGTGTGTGTGTGTGTGTTTTCCCAACATTCGCCACTGCTGGGGGCCGGAGACGCACGCGAAAGCAGGGCTGGTTTTCGAGAAAGTCGAGAATGGGCCGGCTCTCGGGATATTTCTCCAAGACCTCTTTTTGAGAGTCGAAAGAGGTTGCAATGACAAGAATTCGGTCCAGCAAGGGCACGGCATCTTGTCCAAGAAACTCATTGAGCAGTCTTGCTCGTCTATGCGCGCAAAAGAGCGGAGCATCAGTGTTGGGTTTGGGTCGCAGGTAGGTGGCAAAAGCCTCCTCTCCAAAGGCGAGAGCTCGCAAAACTTACGCTTGGTCTTGGGCATGTTCTCGAGCAATTTGATCGGCATTGGGCTGGACGTTGGCATTGCCCGGGTGGGACAAGGCAGGCTCGCGGTACTGCTTGTGTTGCCGCAGCAGCTCAGCCAACGCACGCGCGAATGAAAAGTTGCCCTCACCCAGCAGCAGGACGACATGCGCATCAGCAGGCACCTCACTCGCATCCATCACCGGCACCACTGCCTCCTCCCCCCTCTCCACCACATCCTCACCCCCACCCCCACTCAAAGCCCCCACTACCGCCGCCCGCAACTCGGCCGCCGCCCACGACACGGTCATCAATCCCGCCATCCCGCCCCACACGTGTCCGTGTGTGTGTGTGTGTGTGTGTGAATCGGTGCGCGAAGGCAATTGTCAGATAAATTATCTCTCTTCTCTCTTCTCTCTCTTTCTCTCTCTCTCTCTCTCTCTCTCTCTCTCTCTCTCTCTCTCTCTCTCTCTCTCTCTCTCTCTCTGCGATATATTAGCTGAATGAGGTTAATAAAACGACAACAACTGGACCAAGCCGCTGCAATAACCGGAGGAATGGGCCCGACTGGTCAGCCGGTGCTGGGACGCATGACGGCGACGGTGGTGCTGGTCGCCCTGTTGGCGGTCGTTGGCGTTGGTGCCGAGGCGACGACCGGTGGGGAGACGACGGCGGTGGTGGAGGGCTTTATGCAATGGAGTCAAGACCAGGGCTTGGTATGGCACCCTGAGGTTGAGGTGACATCGACGCATGCAGCCAGTGGAGGAGATGATGGCTATCTTGGGCCGCAACGCGGTCTCAAAGCTGCTGCCGCGCTTGGCGAAGGCACAGTCGTGCTAAGTGTGCCCCTGCGCAGCCTCATTACGGCCGAGCATGCGCTCCTGGACGTGGAGACGGGACGTCTGTGGGACGCGCTGTATGAGCTCAGCGACCTCGACATCTTCACTGGCTTTCTGGCCCATCTCCTCTACAACCCGCATGCTACCCAGGACCCTTGGGCCCCCTATCTTGCCATTTTGCCTTCCACCGACCCGGGTCTCCTGGAACTGTCCGCAGACGAGATCAGACCTTATACTGCCATGCCTATTGTGGCTGCCCTGCAAGCACGAAACTATTCACTCTCCATGGTGGGTGGCATCAGGCCTTGGCGGTGGACGCACCCCCTCCTCGCCATCTCACGAGTTTTTCGTGCACGTCTCCGATGCTTTAGAGTATGACTGACATTGTCAAGATGGCGGCCACCATGGCCCCCACTGGCGGTGATGCCGTGGCCTGGATTGCTCAAAACATGACGTGGTATCCCTTTGCTCGTCCTCATCCACCTGCCCCCGCCACCACCGTGAAACCCTCTTAGCTGAGCTCACTCTGCTGAGCTGCATTTGTAGGTCGCAGTTTGCGCATGCCCATTTTCTGCTTCGCTCACGCAGTCATCGCGTAGCCATTCGGGATGCCATGGCCGAGTGGCAGCATGCCATGGCTCTTGTCCCCGGCGCTGATCTCATCAACACAGGTTTGTCGCCCTGACAGCTCACCTGTCATTTGGCCTCTGCATCACGAACGACGGGTCGTGTGACGGCACAACTCCCGGCCTCTGCTTGTGTAGATATGGATCCGGCCTTGCTCAACGTGGTATGCCGGACGACCGACGAGGGAGAGGGTGTCAATGCCAACTTTGTGTGCGAGACCACCCGGGACCTCGACGCTGGCGAGGAGCTGCTGGCCCAGTATACCTCGCGCGCCGCCTCGCGTACTAACACCAAGCTGCTCCTGGACTACGGCTTTGTTGCAACCAACAACCCAGACGATGCTCTCATCCTGGAAGTCCCGCCAATCCCAGCAGGCCTGTCTCAGCTCTTCAAACGCCTTGGCTTTCAGCGGTAAGAATACCAAAGCTTGGCTCAGCCACGAAACTCGTTTGTACAAGAGTCGCGTGCCATGCCAACGTGCTCACCGCCACCCCCCCCGCAACGCGCCTTAGTAACATGGCGGCCTTGCCACGATTGGAGCAGCCATATCAAGTGCAAGATTTACAGCTCATGCTCTACTTTGCCGTCTTGGAGGCCGCAATGACTGACCACACGTTGGCAAATGCTCCCGTTGGCGCTGTCCAAATCAAGCTTGAGCAAGGCACGCACCGCCTTCGTGGCCTGGCCAAGATGATCCTCTTCCTGGAGGAGCAAAAAGAAAAATATGAAGCCATTCGTGCCATCAAACCCACTACCACGGCCCAGCAGGTGAGCTAGTTCGTAGCCGAGCGCCCCTAGAGATGCGACCTCGCTTTGCAAGCGATTGAGCACGCTCACATGCTGGGCATGCCTGACGATAGGGGCTTTTTGACCTGGCCGACCAGGAGTATGAACTTCTTGTGCGCGCTGTGCATCACGCGTCGACGTTGCTCGAAGTGATGGAGAACAATCAGCTATAGGCGGACACCCCCCCCTTGGTGCAGGCGCCGAGGGGGCGTCCCTAGTTTCTTGACCGATGAAATTTACATGAGACCAGGCTCGGATCTTCGATTGAGGGGAAACAAAGCAGCAGCTCGCACAAGCACTTGTCCATGACGCCTGTTGCATAGGCCATGAGTAGCAGAGGCGTCAATTTCAATAGAAGGCTATGTGCGGTCCATGCTTGAGACTTAGAGACTCCATTCCTGGAAAAAGTCATTGCCCTTATCATCCACGACGATGAAAGCGGGAAAGTCCTCAACATCAATCTCCCAGATGGCCTCCATGCCCAACTCGGGGTACTCCTTAACTTGGACGTTCTTGATGCTGTTGAGGGCCAGAATGGCAGCAGGACCGCCGATGGAGCCCAGGTAAAAACCACCATTGGCCTTGCAGGCGTTGGTCACCTGCAAAAGAGGAGGCAAAAGGGGCACAACACGGCGTGAGAAGACTGTTTGCAACAGATCAGACCAGATTTGCACACTTGGCTGGTAACACCCACCTGCTTGCTGCGGTTACCCTTGGCCAAGGTGATAAAGGAGCCACCGTTCTCCATGAAGGGACCGACGTATGAATCCATGCGGCCAGCTGTAGTGGGTCCAAAGCTGCCCGATGCGTACCCCTCGGGTGTCTTGGCAGGGCCAGCTATCGACCGTCGCCACCATGTGACCAGGCATGCCCGCAGTTCTTGTGAGGGACATGCGGGGGATGGATGTTAGAGCGCGGGAAGCAACGCAATGCAGGCAGTACCGTAGTAAATGATGTGGTTCTTGATGTAGTCGGGCAGACCCTCGCCAGAGTCGATACGCTCCTGGAGCTTGGCATGAGCAATGTCACGAGCAACAATCAGTTTGCCAGTCAGCGACAGACGCGTGCTAGGTGGCAACAAGCAGACGGCGTGTCGTGAGAAATGCGGCGTCCAAATATATAGCACCCGTGGCGTGAAAGTTAAACAAAAAAATATGAAGAAGCAAATCAAAAGACGAGCTTCTTTGTTCGGACCGGATGGGATAGGACGACAGTTGCTTGCGAATGTCTTCCATGGGTTGGTTCAGATTGATCTTTACGACCTCGGCCTTATCCCCCAGGTCTGATTCCGTGACCTCGGGCAGGTACTGGCCCGGGTTTGTCTCGAGCGCCTCGATGAAAACGCCCTCCTTCGTGATCTTGCCAAGAGCCTAGCCAGCATCACGGCCAGGCGCAACGAACAAAGAGATAAAGTCGTTAGGGGTGCGAGGGCAGTGGGCCAAAATCTAGACAAGGGTCGTGGGGTAAGCGGGAGAGCGCAAACCTGACGATCAGCCGAGCACGAGACACCAATGCCAATGGGACACGAGGCACCGTGGCGTGGCAGGCGAATGACGCGCACATCGTGGCAAAAGTATTTGCCACCAAACTGTGCACCAATGCCCAGGTTCTGAGTCAGCTTGTGGATGCGCTCCTCCCATTCAAGATCACGGAAGGCACGGCCCATCTCGTTGCCGCTGAGGTTGAGGTACACGCCGTGCCGCGAAAAAGCGCGCAGTAGCGAGGGACGGGCAAGCAGGTTGTTAGGAGGTGAGGTGGGTCGATAAACAAGCAACAACTGAAATAATTGGGTCAACGGGACACACACCTCGTGTGCAGGTTGTCGTAGTAGCGAGTGCTTGCCATCTTGACAGTCTTGAGGTTCATCTCCGCGGAAAGACCGCCAATAACAATCGCCAAGTGATATGGAGGACAAGCTGGCCCGAGGCAGCAAACGAGCGAGAGAATGAGACAAATGAAAGTGGCAATCAGGGTAGATGAGACCGTGCCAATGCAACATACAGCCATGGTGACATGCAGTCGGCTGTTGAGAAACCTTACCGGCAGTGCCCAGGGTCTTGATCTTCTCCTCGAGGAATTGCTCGAGCTTCTTCTCGTTCAAAACGGCCTTGGTCTGCTGGAACAAAAAGGTCTTGTTGGCCGAGCCACCGCCCTTGGCCATAAACTGAACCCAACGCAACGACAGACAGCTCGGTGAGAGTTGAAAGTCCAGGCGGGTTTACACCACCGACTCGAAGGACAGCAGGAAGGATGGAAAAGGGGGAAGGATCTGCGAAACCGCAAGTCGACAAATCTTGCTGCTGACCTGAAAGTGGTACTCGTTGCCAGGCGTCGAGTAGAGCTCAATTTGGGCTGGCAGGTTACTGCCCGTGTTCTTCTCCTGAAACATGTCCAGCGGGGCAACCTGGGAGTAGCGGAGGTTGCGGCGGGTGTAGGCATTGAAAACGCCACGAGAGAGAGCCTCGCCATCATCACCGGTCGACCAGACGTGTTGGCCCTTCTTGCCAATGCAGATGGCGGTGCCGGTGTCCTGGCATCCGGGAAGCACCATGCCCGCGGCAATCTGGGCGTTCTTGAGCAGTTCCAGGGCCACAAAACGGTCATTCTTTGAGGACTCGGGGTCGTCGAGAATCTTGCGCAGCTGTTGCAGGTGGCCAGGGCGCAGGAGGTGGGCAATGTCAATCATGGCTTGCTCAGATAGGAGCGTCAGGGCCTCGGGGGCGACCCGTAGGACCTCCTGACCATCCACGGTGATCGTCTCAACGCCCTGGTCCGAGAGTTTGCGGTAGGGCGTGCCGAGGGGACCCGCCGTCTCAAACAGGTCCTGGTACGCAAAGGTGGGGCCAGCAGCAGCCGTTCGAACTTGCTGCTGCATAGCCGCACGTGCACCCCAGGCCTGCGTGGCCCGGCGGCACACCGCACTCAAACCCAATCGAGCCGCCATCGTTCCTGAGCCCACCGAGCCACAGCAGCACGTGTTAGCAAGCGCGACGAGTTTCGGTTGGTACAAGGACACAGCTCGAGGAGATACGATAATAATCACATCGACACAGCAGAGGAGGGTTACACAAGGCTCAAGCAGTCCAGTAGACGGGCAGCATACAGTCGCCAGTGCACCGATACGGCATTGGATGAGCCGCCGCCGCCGCCAGCGCGCGATTGAATCTCTCTCACTTTTTCTCTCTCTCTAAAAAAAAGTGAAACTTCGAGGATGGAAATTTTGTCCAGAACATACGTTGTCAATAGATTTTTTCCAATAGGACGTGGGTATCGTCACTACGTTCGTGCTGAGGCATGAGAGCGCCGGGCCCTTGCGCTTGCCGCCTGTGCGCTTTCGAGGGTTTCATTCAGCTGGCTGCGCGCCGCCATTCACATGTAAATGAGAAAGAGGGGTGCTTGCTCTCATCCGACTCTTCTTCTCAGACTTTGCTTTGGTAAGAGACAAAATTAAATAAAAAATGGTTTTATAACATTCTAGGGCTGTCGGCAGCCCGTCGAGAGATGATCATGGGATTTGTGGTGTTTAGAAACACCGGTTTTTTGGTTATGAGGTGTAAATGGCTGCAGGCGCCTTCATAAAGATCACGCTGCGCTTTGATAGTGTCGTTCCAATGCAGAAGCGAGTTTACTTGCTGCTGGTGTACTTGGTGACGGCCTTGGTGCCCTCAGAGACGGCGTGCTTGGCCAGCTCACCGGGGAGCAAGAGGCGGACGGCGGTCTGGATCTCGCGGGACGAGATGGTGGACTTGCCGTTGTACTTGGCCAGACGGGACGACTCGTTGGCAATGCGCTCAAAGAGGTCGTTGACGAACGAGTTGAGGATGGACATGGCCTTGGAGGAGACACCGGTATCGGAGTGCACCTGCTTCAGGACCTTGAAGATGTAGATGGAGTAAGACTCCTTGCGGCGCTTCTTGCGACCCTTCTCGCCGACGGCCTTGGCCTTGCCGGCCTTCTTCTCGCCCTTCTTGGAAGCCTTGGGAGGCATGATGTTGGTCTTTCTTGGTTAAAAGAAAAAAATGCCACCTCCCGGCCCGCCAACGTCACATCCACCCGCAAGGCGCGCGTCCCCTCGGGACTTTTCCCTCTCGCCGTCAGTGTGTGTGTGTGTGTGTGTGTGTGTGTGTGTGTGTGTGTGTGTGTGTGTGTGTGTGTGTGTGTGTGTGTGCGAGAGAGAGAGACGTTCAACAGCACCCAAAACAGGCTTTTGAGCGTTTTTGGTTTCTGTTTCTATACACTAGACAGTCCCCTGTGAAAAAGTCCCCTCACACTTGTACGATAAATCAAGAGGGAACCCTTACTGTGTTTTACTTACATGGCGCATGTAACGGCTTTGTGACCGTTACGCTCTCTCTCTCTTGCTCTCGCGCTCTCTCTCTCTCTCTCTCTCCACTTGACGGGCGGGACGGGGTGGAAGAGACATTTTTCTTCTTCCTCTCTCTTGGAATAAGTTCACAATGGCTCGTACGAAGCAGACCGCCCGCAAGTCCACCGGTGGCAAGGCCCCGCGCAAGCAGCTCGCCACCAAGGCCGCCCGCAAGTCGGCCCCCGCCACCGGCGGTGTCAAGAAGCCCCATCGCTTCCGCCCCGGTACCGTCGCTCTTCGTGAGATCCGTCGCTACCAGAAGTCGACCGAGCTCCTGATCCGCAAGCTCCCCTTCCAGCGCCTCGTTCGCGAGATTGCCCAGGACTTCAAGACTGATCTCCGCTTCCAGTCGACTGCTGTCGCTGCCCTCCAAGAGGCCGCTGAGGCTTACCTCGTTGGCCTTTTCGAGGACACCAACCTCTGCGCCATCCACGCCAAGCGTGTCACCATCATGCCCAAGGACATCCAGCTGGCCCGCCGCATCCGTGGCGAGCGTGCCTAAATTGGCCTTTTCCCTTTTTTTTCCATATAATCTTTCTCGCCTTGGGGAAAGGGACGACATTGCCCTTCCTCACCTTTACACTAAAACCCGGTGTTCTTAAACACCAATATTTTCCTTGATCATCTCTGGCTCCATGCCCAAAAGTTACGGGACATGCCCGATACTCGAGTTGCGACAATCAGGGGCCACTTAGGCAGTGGGAGAAAAGCTCAGTCAAATAAAGTTGATTCGGGATAAGCCAGCCTATCATGAAGTAACACGCAACCTCTTGGGAGCTAACAGTCTGGGCAACGCTACGAGAGCCGAATCACCAGAAAGCCTTGTGTGAGGCAGGCGAAATTCCCTGGGGGCATTGCAACCAAGCCTGGCGGACCTGAAGGGCGAGCTCATTGCATGCAGTGCATTTGAGGGAACTCGACTTTGTGTCGTGTGCAAAACCGTGTCGTAACGAGCGCTTTGTCCCTTGACACCTATGGGTCACGCAACCGCCGTGAATGCCATGCGTTGCGATCATCGTGTTCCCGTTGATTCCAACTCAAATTGCCCGCTTGCTCCTACCAAGTGCAGAGGACGTAACCCTCGCCGCCACACGTTCTGCAGTCCTCCAGTGGCCGCTCGGCGTAGCCCTGCAATTGGCGCTGCAAGGTACCTTGCTCGGCCATGCGTTCCACCTGCTCCCAATCGCCAAAATGCGTGCCAGCCACAAACACTTGCGGTGGCTTGGCACCGGGGGCACGCCGACGTAGTTCGTCGGCCGCCTACGCCGTGCAATACAGAAAGGGGCATGCCTGAGTGTCAAGACGGCAGCGTGACGAGAGGTTTGATCGTCACACATACACACGCACAGGCAACAAGGCGGACGGTGCAAACCTGCTTGTCCATGGCTATATTCTTGAGAGTCACTTTAAGCCTGAGACGGTAGAATAACTAAAAAGAGAATCATTGCACGCATGAGGTTAGCCGAGGGACAGAACAACGCGTGGCACAACCCCGCTCAAATCATACGGCTTTAACAGCTTCGCAGTGGATGTGTGTCTCTCGAATGGCAGTTGTACTGGTGGTGTAGATGACGATGCGTTGGTTTTGGACTTCGTCGTCGAAGACCCGACTCAGGTCGTCCTGCTGTCGTGCCTGGCGTACGGAATTGATGCGCTCCAAAGTCTTGCGCACCGCATGACGTTTGCCTCGGATCGTCGCCTTGCCGTTGCCCAGGGTTGCGAGCATCATCTCCGTGTCATCTACCCCCAATCAGTTACAGCTTAGTTTAATGTCCCAAGAGGCCCCCTCTTCGGGCCACCTCCCTCGAAGTTGTTTGGCGGCATATAACCGGCCTCAACACAGCCCCACGGTGACGCTGCAGCTTACCGTGTGCAAAGTTATTCGGTTGACTGGGTGTCAGGGGGGCCGGATGGGGCCTGTGCTGCCTAGCCCACAAATTTCATCAGCAAGTCTTGGACCTCGGTGGCAAACGATATTTTGTCAAAAGAGAGAAAGAGGAGCAAAGAAACAGCGGCATACTGGGTAAGCGCTGGATGGGGCTGGGCTTGCTCTGATGCTGCGTCGGCTGGTTGGGCTTGCACGGCACCCACGTTCTACCACAGCGCAGGGTGAGGAAACCAGGGGTCCACATGACCAAAAACACTCTCAGGCGCCAACAACTCACAGTCGGTGTCACGGGCGGGCTATCAACACTGCCTCTGAGCGGAATACCACGGCTAACACCGGCCCCCACTGCCGACAAGGTTCAGTTGCAGAGGTAACGATGTCACATTTGAGTCGATCCACAAACCCATACGACCCGGCACGCGGACGGCTCTCCAGATACTCTCACCCTCGATCCTCTCCAAGCTGCCTTGATTGCTGCTGGCATTGCTTCGCAGGACGCTTGAAGGATCGACGAGCCGCCGCCGCGGCAAATCACTCGGCGGGGAGCGCTCCGAATGCGCAGGCTTAATCACCCTGTGCAGACATAACTTGGGTCATCTCGTGGCAGACTGACAGTAGCACAAGAAAAAAAAGAGGCACAAGAAGAAAAAAAGATTGCCCAATCTTGAAACGTACGCACGGGACAGCGTGGCGGCCTTGGCAGCACCAGGCAAAATGGAAAAAGATGTTTGGGTTTGCAACCTGGCGGAATGTGGCCATGAGGAACATGTGAATGTATGCTTGCTTGAACAAAAAGTGAGCAGCCCATAAACTGGCCAGTGTGTTGGGCTTACATGGGTGTCGGTGTAGCTGGCGTCAATCCCACATCCGCAGAGGGTTTGGCCGGGCCCACGCAATTAGCTTGAGCTTTTGCCACGGTCGGCACAACCCAAGCATCATTGAGGCGTCGACGAGGTGGGGCCACGCGTTGGTTGGGGCTTTCTTGACTCGAGGCCGGCTTGGCCGGAACCGATTTGGTTTGAGTCTGCCAGAAAAAAATTGGAGCAAAACTGTGAACATCAAGACGACAGGGATCCAGCCAGAGCTGCTGGTCTATCTGGCGTACCGACACGGGGTGCGCAAGAACAAAGCTGCCTTTGGTGCTGTGGCTCACGCCGAGCGCTGCCGATCGTGGTGTGGGGTACAAAAAATGAAGCATGCGATACAAGTTTGAGGATGAGAGACGGCTGGAAAGCAAAGGTGGGGGTGACCATCTTACCTTTTGGCTGAGGGCGTGACGATGGGGGAGGGCTGGGTGGTTTCTTTCAGACGCACAGGGTCAGGTGAGTGTCGCGGGCGTTTGACTCGGTTGACAGACATCGCCAACAAGCCCACCTGGTTCTGTACAACTTCGCTGCCCTCTACGTGATCGGGATCCAGGGACCAATCATCTTGCTGGCCTGTCCATGAGTGGCATGGGATCCAGTGTGTGAGAAAAGGGAGCCGGTGTGCCCAGTGTACAGGACACCGTGTCATCAAGGCTGTCACAGCCACTGACCACTGGTAAAGCTCTGACTACGAGGTAGGCGTGTTCGCTTGCTGATGATGGGTCCAGTGGGGCCTTCACCAGCCGCGTTGAAGGCAAGGACTATGATGGGAGCCAGCGAGCACTGCGTCGTGAGACAAGGCCGCTCGTAGTCGTGCTTCGATTGCGCGTGTTCTCTTGAGAACTGGGATAAATACCTTGAAAGCGGTAGGTTGTCCCGGGCCGCAAGTGATTGGCAGTGTACAAGGTTTGTGAGGCCGGCAAATTGATCTCAGTAAATTCCTCACTATCCTGCACATCCATAAACAATCTGCGCATGTGAAGCGAGAATCAGATGAGAGGGTACCTGCGAACGAGGAGCACGCCGATGTGCGTAAACGCAAGCAAGTCTTTGGCTTCATGGATGCATCCCGTACTTGTAGCCTTCAAGTGAGTCCTGATGATGGTGTGGCGGAGGCTGCCAAGCGATTTCAAGGTGGTGCATGTCTACGACGAGGAAGCGCAGCTGCGTCGGCGAGGCCGAGGGTACCTATGGTGCGGATTGGGCAAGTGTGTGGGTGTACAGATAGGGCGACGAAAAGGAGGGAAGCATCGGGCGCAGAGAGATGCTTGAGCGCGAGCGCGTCTGGGGTACAGCGAGGGCGAGGGACGCACTGCGGCCTTGGTTTGAGCTGTGACAGTCGGTGTGCAGGGCCACTGGGCATCATCGGCAGCCACGCCCAGCTGGTTGGTGAATGTTTGGACGTAAAATTCATAGGTAGTGTAAGCACGAAGTCCCTGCACGACATGGTCGTGATACACATCGTCCTGGGTGTAAGCCAGCGCAAACTCGGGGGCGCCCTAGCCATGAGTCGAATGAGCTGTGCAAAGCCGGTCACGGGAGGCAACCAGTCCACGGGGGGGGAGGGGGGTGCCGGCAGTGGGTGTGCACCTGGCGCCGACGAAAAATTCGATAGGAGTAACGCAGGACATATTTTGAGGACAAAGACACATCGGGACTTTGCCAGCTCAAGCGAATGGCCGTGCTGCTGACAGCCTCGGCGTGCAATGCTTGCGCCGTGGGCAGAACCCGGGCCATGGTGCCGAGTTTGACTCGAACAGAAGTGCTCCAAGCGCTCGTCGAACAATGGAACAACGGCCCCTTGGCTGGCTGGTGGCTGTGGTAAGGACATTCATGACTGGTTGGTGTATCGTTTTGTTTTTGTTGTCTTAAAAGCAGCAGCAGCAGCGGACGGACGTCTGCGCTCGTGATGATGCATGCGCGCAAGCATCGACTCGGTTCCAGAAAGTATTTTACTTATTGCTTTCAGATCTGATTTGTAAAAGAACTTTCTTATTTTTCCATCCCCAGCTATTCAAATCCATGAGTATCCTTTGACTGCTTTCTTTCCTAAGCTGTACACACTGTACAGTAGAGTGTGTGTGTGTGTGTGTGTGTGTGTGTGGGCACTTTGGTCAGCCTTTTTGCTTCATTTTTTCCTTTTGCTTTGGGTTTTCGCTCAAAAGCAAAAAAAAAGGAACCAAAAAGACCAACAACAACAAAAGGTATGTCAGTGACGCACTGCTGTCTCTGTGTGTGTGTGTGTGTGGTGGGCGGATGCGTCTTCTTCCTCTCTCTGTCTCTCTCTCTCTTGCTCGCTATCTCGGTCTGGGGCGCGCTCTGAATGGCAGTGCCACTGAGGCGAGAGGCGGGACTATTCGTGTGAGTTGTCGGTGATGGATGGGGTCGGGGACGGGTGTGCACCGTGTCGTTGTGGCCTTTGGGGTGATGAGCGATCTTGGAGCTGCTTTTACACACCCTTCAAGACTTGATGTGAACTCGAGTGGAAGTTTCGAAAGGGCAGCCAGTGACTGGTCCGGCGACCGACTTCCGGGACGTGGCAGTGCATATTTTGAATGCGCATCGCATCCGGTATTGATACTTTTACCCCTGGGTCAATACCTCACGCCTGGCCGTGTCTACCCAGCCCACTCAACGCGCGTCTTGTCATTTTGTTGTGGTTGTGGTGCGCTCATCGAATTTCTGGGCTCTGTTTGTGTATCTCAAGCGCCTTCCATCTCCATTGAGACACCACCCCTCCCGCCCTGTTTTATTTTTGCGGCCAATGAATCTTCTTCCTCACGCTGCTCTCTTCTTTGGCAGGACGTTGACCCGTCCTGTGCTGGTCTTGACCGGCTCTCCCGCCCCAGTCTGTAGACGTGAGCGCGCCTCCGCCATTTGCGGCGCGTGCTAGACATTGATCGCAACCGCCGCCATGGTTGTCGTGGCCAAGGTTAGTCGTGATGGTGGGCGGATCTGCTTTGTGCCTTTGCCGTGGCCTGCCACGCGCCCCTTTGTTTCTTGCTGTCTCATCAGCTTTTTTGATGAATGTGCTACACTCGGCCGATAGGGCGATCTGGTCTGGTATGACAGCGGTGCCACTGGCGAGTTTGACTTGCCCATTGGTGCTGCCGTCGTTTCCGCTGATCAAGGTCAGATTGTCATCAAAACGGACGACAATGAGGTTCGTGCCTCCCTTCTTCCTTGTCTCGCAACCCCTTGCCACAGCCATCCCGTGCCGCCCTCATTCTCACCCCCGCTTTCAAACTCATCTTTTTCGTGCAGGAAGTCTGGATTCCAACCGAAAAGGCAGATACGCAGCTGAAGATTATGCACTCCACCTCGGCCGAGGGTGTAGAGGACATGGTTCGTCCAAAGGCGTTTCGCACAGTCCCTGTGCCTGCAGACTCGGCCAGTGACGCGCCTACATTATTCTCGCTCTCATCATGTCGCACACCCATTTGCAGATTCAACTGGGTGATTTGCATGAGGCGGGCATCTTGCGCAACTTGCAGATTCGCTACAACGACCCAAATGGCTGCAACCTGTACACCTTCACCGGCTCCATTCTCGTGGCCGTCAACCCTTACCAGCTCCTCCCCATTTATGACGCGGAACACATTGAAAAGTACAAGGGTCAGAAAATTGGCGACCTGCCACCCCACATTTTCGCCATCGCCGATGCCTCCTACACCATGATGCGTCGCGAGCGCCGTAATCAGTGCTGCGTCATCTCGGGCGAGTCGGGTGCCGGTAAGACCGAGACCACCAAGCTTGTCTTGCAGTTCTTGGCTGCTGTGTCAGGCCAGCATTCTTGGATCGAACAGCAGATTCTCGAGGCCAACCCCATCCTCGAAGCCTTTGGCAACGCCAAGACCATCCGCAATGACAATTCATCTCGTTTCGGCAAATACATTGACGTGCATTTTGATGCCGAAGGTATGCCCAGCTGCCTGTCGCCGCTACACGCCTTGCGCCCGTGAGTGGCATTGTTTCAGTTTCCCATCTGCCTGTCGCTCACCCCCGCCCTCTCCGCGTTTTAGGTGCCATTGAGGGCTCTCGCATCGAGCAGTACCTGCTTGAAAAGTCTCGCCTGTCGTTTCAGGCCGAGAACGAGCGCAACTACCACGTCTTTTACCGGCTCATTGCCGGTTCCACGCCCGAGCAAAAGTCGCGCTACATGCTGACCAAGGCTGAGGACTACAACTACCTTACCGGTGGCAACTGCACCGTCCTGCCCAATGTCGATGATGTTGAAGAGTGGGGTTCCATCGTCGGCGCCATGAAGGTGCTGGGCTTCTCCGACCAGGACCAAGACAACGTCTTCAAGCTTGTGGCCTCCTTCCTCCATCTGGGCAATCTTGAATACGATGCCACCACCATCAGCAACATGGAAGGCTCGGACATTGTGGACACCACGCCTCTCGAAGCCGCCTGCAAGCTTATGGAGCTAGACTCGGACCCCATCGCCGAGGCGCTTACCATTGCCACCCAGGTCACGCGTGGTGAGGTCATCAAGAAGCCCCTCAGCGTCGAAAAGGCAATCGACGTCCGTGACGCCTTTGTCAAGCAGGTCTACGGCCGTGTTTTCATCTGGCTCGTCGACAAGATCAACCTCGCCATCTACAAGGAGGGCAGCGGCGGTGCCCGCTACAGCATTGGCGTCCTGGACATCTTTGGCTTTGAAAACTTTGGTGTCAACTCCTTTGAGCAGCTTTGCATCAACTTTTGCAATGAAAACCTGCAGCAGTTTTTCGTCCAACACATTTTCAAGCTCGAGCAGCTCGAGTACGACAAGGAGTCTATCAACTGGTCCAAGATTGAGTTTACGGACAACCAGCCCGTCCTGGATATGATTGCCGAAAAGCCCATGAACATTCTGGCTCTGGTCGATGAGGAATCAAAGTTTCCCAAGGGTACGGACGAGTCCCTCCTGACCAAGCTGCACAGCAATCACGAGTCGAACGACCTCTACGTCAAGCCCCGCTCGCGTCAGGATCCCAACTTTGGTATCCAACACTTTGCCGGCCAGGTCTTTTACCTGTCCAACGGCTTTTTGGAGAAGAACCGTGACACCTTTAGCAACGATCTCCTCCAGAACATTGTCATGTCCCCCAACGAGTTCCTGGTCGACCTCTTTGCCCAAGAAGCCAAGGCCGGCAGCGAGACGCGCGCCAAGAAGGCTACCTTGGCTGGCCAGTTCAAGCGCTCCCTCGATGCCCTCATGAAGACCCTCGGTGCCTGCAACCCCTTCTTCGTCCGTTGCATCAAGCCCAATGAGAACAAGCGCCCCAACGAGTTTGATCGCTTGCTTTGCACGCGCCAGCTCCGTTACTCGGGTATGATGGAGACAATTCGCATCCGCCGCGCCGGCTACCCGATTCGTCATCTCTTTGAGGCGTTCGTGCGTCGCTACCGCCTTCTCGACCCCTCAGTGCCCCCGCCTGGTGGCGACGACCGTGCCTCCTCGGAGAAGCTCGCTGCCAGCGTTCTGGGTCCCGCTGAGAACGCCGACTGGCAGATGGGTACTACCAAGATCTTCTTCAAGGACCACCACGATCAAGAGCTCGAAAATGCCCGTGAACGCGTCTTCACCAGCAAGGCCGTGGTCCTCCAGCGCATGCTTCGCGGTGCCTTTGCACGTGAGCGTTTCATCAATATGAAGTCCTCTATGGTGACCATTCAGGCTGCACTCCGCACCTACCTGGCCACCGAGCGTCTCAAAGCCATGCGTACCGGCTTTGGCCGCCTCCAGGCCATGATCAAGGCTCGCAAGCTGAGCCAAGATTTTACGGCCCTCCGCACCCGCATGGCTGGCCTTCAAATGTATGTGCGCGGCTTTGTGGCCCGCCGCACCTTTACTGGCATCGTCGATGCCGTCTCGCGACTCCAGGCTGTCTTCCGCATGGTACTCGACATCCAGCGCACCAAATTCCTGCAGGACGAATACCGTGCTGAGCGCGCCCGCCAAGATGCCATCAAGGCCGGTCTCCAACAAGAGGAGGCTGAGCGTCAAAAGCAAGAGGCCATGCGCAAGATCCAGGAGGAGAAGGAGCGCAAGCACCGTGAGGCCGAAGCAAAGCGCCAGGAAATTGAGCAGGCCGAGGCCGACCGCGCCAAGCGCGAGAACCAGGAAGTCAACGACTCTGCCTTGGTTGACGAGATGTTTGGCTTTGTGGACGAGGAAGAAGGTGCCAAGGGTGATGGGCCCATGGGATTTGCTGACCTGCCGCAAGGCCAGGGCGACGACGACGGCTTTGGTTTCGGCGACTCGCGCGTCATCCCCGATATGGACGAGGACATCTCGTCCTTCAAGTTCACCAAGTTTGCCTCCACCTACTTCCAGGGCAACACAAACGCCTTTTACATCCGCCGCCCCCTCAAGCAGCCCTTGCTCAACCTGACCTCGCCCTCTGACCAGCAAGCTGCGCTCTCCGTCTGGATTACCATCCTTCGCTTCATGGGAGACATGCCCGAGCCCAAGTACGTCCAGGCCAACGAGGCCAGCGACCAAAGCCAGTCCGTTATGGGCCGTATGTACAAGACGCTTGGACGCAAGTTTTCGCGCAAGAGCATCAACATGAGCGAGGCCGACGCTCAAGAGATGGCCGCCAACATTGAAATGGCCGGCGCTGCTACTCCAGCCGGCGCTGCTGCTGGTGGTGCACCCGAGGAAGACAAGCGCGAAAAGTCGATTCGCCGCAAGTTGGCCAGCATGACGCTGCGCAAGAAGTCCAAGATGAGCCGCGAAATGCAAGAGCAGTACGAGACGGAGCGCATGCGCGCCCAGCAGGAGGAGAACGGCGAGGCGGCGCAGGGCGAGGGTTACAAGCCCGATGCCGTCATGCCGCTTCAGAACCGCCCCACCACTAACTTGGAAAAGCTGCACTTTATCATTGGCCACGGCATCCTGCGCCCCGAGCTGCGTGACGAGATCTACTGCCAAATTTGCAAGCAGCTCACCCAAAACCCCAGCAAGTCGAGCCACGCCCGTGGCTGGATCCTGCTCTCTCTTTGCATTGGCTGCTTTGCGCCCTCGGACAAGTTTGTGAAGTACCTCCGCTGCTTCATCAGCGAGGGTCCCCCAGGCTACGCCCCTTACTGCGAGGAGCGCCTCAAGCGCACGCAGCTCAACGGCACCCGCCACCAGCCCCCGAGCTGGCTCGAGCTGCAGGCAACCAAGAGCAAGAAGCCCTTGATGCTGCCCATCACCTTCATGGATGGCAACACCAAGACACTTCTGGCCGACTCGGCCACCACGGCTTCGGAGCTTTGTGATCAGCTCGCTGAGAAGATTGGTCTCAAGGACAAGTTTGGGTTCAGCCTCTACATTGCCCTCTTTGATAAGGTCTCATCCCTGGGCAGTGGCGGTGACCATGTCATGGACGCCATCTCCCAGTGCGAACAGTACGCCAAGGAGCAGGGTGCCCAGGAACGCAATGCGCCTTGGCGCCTTTTCTTCCGCAAGGAGATCTTTGCGCCCTGGCACAACCCGGCCGACGATGCCGTTGGTACCAACCTCATTTATCAACAGGTGGTGCGTGGCATCAAGTTTGGCGAGTACCGCTGCGAAAAGGAGGACCAGCTTGCTGAGATCGCGGCCAAGCAGTTTTACGTCGAGTACGGCCCCAACATGGACTCGGAGCGCCTGCTGCGCCTCGTGCCCTCGTACATTCCAGACACAGCTCTGCAGTCGCGCTCCGCCGACAAGTGGGCGCCCAAGATTGAAAAGTGCCACGCCAAGGGCGAATACACCAAACACTCGTGGCCGGCACAGAAGGTCAAGGAACAAGTGGTCGACTTTGCTCGTACCGAGTGGCCGCTTCTCTTCTCTCGCTTCTATGAGGCCTACAAATTCTCTGGCCCCTCACTGCCCAAGAATGACGTGATCATTGCCGTCAACTGGACCGGCGTCTACATTGTGGATGACCAGGAGCATGTCTTGCTTGAATGCTCCTATCCGGAGATCACCAACGTCTCGAGCAGCCGCACGGGCAAGTCCTCGGGTCAGAGTTTCACCATCACCACCATCAAGGGCGATGAGTACACTTTCACCTCGACCAATGGCGAAGACATTCGGGATCTCGTGCTTGGGTTCCTCGAAGGCTTGCGCCATCGCTCCAAGTTTGTGGTGGCCATGCAAGACTACTCGGCCCCTGGGGAAGGTTCCTCCTTCCTGAGCTTCAAGAAGGGCGATTTGATTTGCCTGGACAATGATGATGGCCATGCCGTCATGCACTCGGGCTGGTGCTTTGGCCGCTGTGACCGCACGGGCGAGGAGGGCGACTTCCCAGCCAACTGCGTCTACGTCCTGCCCACGGTCATCAAGCCCCCGCAAGAGGTACTGGCCCTCTTCTCGGACAACAGCGATGCGGCTGCCGATGCTCTGGTGGACGCTTTGCAGATTGACGACGAAGATGAGGGCGAGGCGTACTCGCTGGAGCAGTTTGCTCTCGAACACTTCCGTGCCCCGTCCAAAAAGTCCTTGACGCGCACGTTGAGTCGCCGATCGCGCAAGGGCGGTGCCTCGTCCAACCCTTGGAGCTACTCGCGTGAGGTCTTGAAGCAACCGTTGCTCAAGAAGGTTTGTGCCCACGAAGAGCTTAGCGTGAAGGCCGTGCAAATTTTCCAGGCCATCATGAAGTACATGGGTGACTACCCGTCCAAGAAGGCGCGCATCAGCACCGAGCTGACTGATGTCATCTTTGAGGCGCCCCTAGCCCATGAAATGCTGCGCGACGAGGTGTACGTCCAGCTCATCAAGCAGCTCACAGACAACAAGACACGCATCTCCGAAGAGCGTGGCTGGGAGCTCCTTTGGCTGTGCACTGGTTGTTTCCCCTGCTCGAATCTTCTGCAAAAGGAGGTGACTGCCTTCCTGCGGTCCAAGGCCTCGCGTCATCCTCTGGCGCAGGAATGCCAATCTCGCGTGGCCAAGGCCATCCGCAACGGCCCCCGCAAGTACCCGCCGCACATTGTCGAAGTGGAGGTCATTCAGAACAAGAAAGTGACCATCAACCACAAGGTATACTTCCCTGACGATTCCAACCTCTCGTTTGAAGTGGAGTCGTCCACGCGTGCCAAGGACTTTTGTGCCAGCATCGGGGAAAAACTTGGTCTACAGACGACCGAGGGTTTCTCGCTCTTCGTCAAGATTGCGGACAAGGTGATCAGTGTGCCCGAGGGTGACTTCTTCTTTGACTTTGTTCGTCATCTGACCGAGTGGCTGAAGAAGACAAAGCAAGGCACCGCGCCCAAGGATCAGATGGTCAACCCCACGCTCACCTACTCAGTCCTCTTTCTGAAGAAACTGTGGTCAACCACGGTGGTGGGGCAGGATCCGCGCGCCGATTGCATGTTCCATTACCATCAGGAGCTGCCCAAGCTGTTGCGAGGCTACCACAAGTGCACTAAGGAGGAGGCGGTGCAGCTAGCCGCCCTCCAATACCGTGTCCGCTTTGGCGACGACAAGAAGGAGTTTGGCTCCATCCCGCAGTTCCTGCGCGAGCTCGTGCCCTTTGATTTAATTCAAACCATGAATCCGGAGGAGTGGAAGAAGGCCATTGTTCTGGCCTTTAACAAGCACTCGGGTAAGAGCCGCGATGACGCCAAGATCTCCTTTTTGAAGATTATCCAGCGCTGGCCGACGTTTGGCAGCGCCTTTTTCGAGGTCAAGCAGACCACCGAGCCCAAGTATCCGCAGCAGCTGCTCATTGCCATCAACAAGGCCGGCGTGAACTTGATCAACCCGAAGAACAAGGAAATTATCGACACCTACCCTTTTACCAAAATCTCAAACTGGAGTTCTGGTGGCACATATTTCCACATGGCCATCGGTAACCTGGTGCGCGGGTCGAAGCTGCTGTGCGAGACGACTCTTGGCTACAAGATGGATGACCTTTTGACCTCTTACATCTCGCTCATGCTTGCGACCATGAACAAGAACAAGAAGCGCAAGCCATCTGTTCGCCAGTAGGAAACACGAGAAATCGCACTCAACGTTTTGTCGCGTTTCTCTTCTGTCTCCTTTGGCTTGTGTGCTTCTCTGTCTGGTGTGCTTCTCTGTCTGTTCGTCTCAGGCTTGGTTTGTTTTGTGAGGCGCAGTTGTTCAAAGCTCCTTGACTTTTGTTTTGTTTTTCCTTCCTCAACTACCGCCGTGCCTCCCTGTATATTCTTGCAGTCGATTCGTTTAGTTTCTCTCTCTCTCTCTCTCTTTTTTTTTTCCTTTCTCTTTCATCTCGCTTTTGCGTGCTCGTGAGATCATGACTCCATGCTAAAGTGTTGGGTCTGGTTCAAGGTTGTCTCGTCTTCATCGGGGCATTTATGAGAATGAGGACCACGCATACCCACATGACAACGTCAAATTGATTGTCTTTTGATCTTCTTGTCTTGGTGCTGTGCAACTTCCTCTGGGGTTTGAGGATCGCGGATCGCAACAAAAGCCAAAAAAAAAAAGCGGGGGGCGGGGGGCCCGTATGTTACATTTCACGCATCAGACATGTCCATGGCTGATTCGTCGAGGGCAGAGGTGTCTGAGTCTTGCGGGATGGGCGACAGTCTGAGATTGTTCGATGGTAGGCGGGATGGCGGCGGAAAACGCTCATTCTCCGGTGGCTCAATCTGTGGCTCACGGTGGTGTGCTTGCAGCGGGGGCTGGCCAGTGCTACGATGGCTTATCAAGGGGTCACTCTCATCAAAACCAGCAATGCCTGACAGGGAGTTGGTCGCAAACTGGTCTAACAGGCAGTCATCGATATCGCGCAGGTGCTGGTCGGCTTCTTCGAGCAGAGCGTGATCCAGAAGCACCTGAGCAAACACGTTGGCAGGCTGCACAGCCAGAGCCTATACGTCAAGCATAGAAAAGTGAGAGTGTGACTTTCCTGGCAAAGATGCAAAGCAGGAGACATGGCTGGTGCGGAAACATAAGGGGCTGGCCCAAGTGTCTTGCTTACCTGATGATAGGACTCGATGGCCGCACCCAGGTCATCTTGCTCATGATAGCAGGCACCAATGCCTGCATGTGCCTCGCCATTCCGGCCATCCAAGGCCAAGGCCTGCTCATAAAATCCAATGGCCTCTTCGTACCATCTGGAGTGGACGAACAAGAGGAAGACAACGAAATGGCCATGAATGTTGTGCAGCAGTGCTGCGGTCTGGTTGGACGAGCCGTCCCGTGTGACGAGAAGGCTTTTAGCGGGGAGATGCAAAACTAGACGCACTGCGAGCTATGGTATGCGCGGCCCAGGGCATTAAATGAAGCCACCCGATGGCGAGTTGTCTGTGGCACAGCCAGAAGGACCGACGTAATGAGTGGCGTGCGATGGCACGGTGCAGGAGGGCGACCTGACTGGGTTCAAACCATCGAGTTTTGTGCGCTGGCCAGGTCGAGGGCGTTTCTCAAATTCTCGACGGCCACATCAAAAAAACCGAGCTTCAGGTTGAGAATGCCCTGTTCGTGCCAGAGGAGCGGGTCGGCGTCTTGGGTTCATCAAGAAGGAGCCGGAAATGAGGCCCAACGATCACAAAAGCCATCATTCGAGGACAGGATGAGCGAGTTTGAGAGCGACGGCGAGCAATCACACCGTACCGTAGCGGGTCATGGCTCGTTCAAAATAGCTTTTTGCGAGCTCATGGTGATCTGTGGCGCTGTATTCCATGCCAATGTACATCAGCGGCAGGTGTGAGCCCGGCATGATGCGGGCAGCCGTGCTGTAGGCGGCCATGGCCTGGTCGTGTTCTCCCTGAGCATGTTGACAACCACATCAAACTCGGATGAGCGCTAGTCAGGTCGGATGGTTCGGTTCACGGAAAGCGCAAAAGTCATACAGTACCTCGAGTGCAAATGAATGTCCGAAGCCTATCCAGGCGTCGCCGCAGTTGTTCTGAAGTTTGGTGGCCTTGCCATAATAGCGGCGGGCCTGCTCATGATCCCGAACGTGTAAATAGTATGTGGCAACAGCATGCCACGAGATCTGCACAGGCAGATTCAGTCAGCACCAGCACGCTGTGTGCAAGATGGAGGCGGGGGCGCAGAGTTCGAACCGCATCTTTGGGACTCGAGTCCACCAGCTGGTGAGCCAGATAAAAGAGGCCACTGGTGTCATTGAGTTCGACGAGGCAAGCTATGTGTGTGGGCAAGCAGCCGACCGCGTAGGGGTCTTCGTCCAAAATACTAAATTCGTTGCAACGCCGGCGTCAGGCATCAGGCAGGATGGGCGAGGCCCGCTTCGGCAGGCAAACCAAGAACTTACGCCGTGGTTTCTTCGTAGCACTCGTGAAAGCGACAAGCTCGAAACAAATCCTTGGCACGTTCAATGCGCACGTCCTGCAAATGTATCAAAGATCAAAGTGCATCATCCACACGACGACGTGGTGAGGCCAGGTGGGGCCTGACGAGGCTGTGCCAAAGGCAACAGCAAGACAAGAAGACCTGATTGTTCTGTAGCAACTCGGGAAAGGAGATTGACTTGTCCTTTCGGTCCTGAGCTGCGGCCTATGGGCACAGATGAAGAGGCGGTGTTATACAAGGATGCGCGCAGGATGAAGGTGGGCTGAGCCGACTGGGCTGGAGGCGAAACGAAGGACCCGACAAACTGACGCGATTGAGTTTGTGTTTGTAAAAGGTCAAGATCAACTGAGCGGCGGGTGTGTCTGTTTCGCGGGCATACTGAACGGCCTGTGCCAGCAGCTTTTTTTCTTGGCTGAGGGTAAGCATGTAGTGGTTGGTCAGCCGGTTGAGGGCTTCCATGCAGGTCATGTCGTGCTTGAGGGCACAAAGGTAGGACTCGGTGGCCAGCTGAAGGTTGTCAAGTTGTTCATGGATACGGGCACGGAGCAGAGCCAAGGATACGGAGATGTTGGCAATGGGTGCAAATGTGTCATCCACCTGGACGTTGCTCAAAAGCTGAGCGAAGGCGGCCTCAGTGTTGCCAATTGTGTCCAGGGCGTCGCGGTACTCCTCAAGATCAAAGTGGCAAAGAGCCGCAAGGTGGCGGCAAGCGACGTTGGGGACGACAAGCTTAAAGCGGTGGAGCAACGCAATGGCTCGTTTGGGTTCGCGGTTCTGTCTGAGTTGCTGACCGAGTGCGTAGACGTCTTTCACGGCACCTAGAGGCGATCAAGATCGAGTGTCTGAGCAGTGGTTGATCGCATGCTCGCTGGCCCAGTGGATGGAAGGATGGGCACACCTGAAGACAGCGAAATGGCTTTGTTGAACCAGAAGATGGCCGTTTCATTTTGGTAGGCGGCGGCTGCCTGGGCGGCCAGGGCGCGGCACTACACGGCCCACCGACGCGGCCGGAAGGAAGCAACAGGGATGAACCAATATGAGCATATTGTGAGTGACACAAAAAGGGACGGCAGAAGCGTGACGCACCTCATCCAAACACATGCCGCCTGCTAACCAGGCCTCTGGCCTCGACGGTTCCCCAGGAATTGGCACCCGTTGCACCAAAGGCAAATGCAGCGCGTACAAGCACCTCACTTCCGGCAAAGCACCTGTTTGTCGAGGGGCACAGCTGAATAAGCATTGCAAGGAGCGCAGCGCAGCGCAGCACAGCATCACAACAGACGCCCAATACAAGATCAAAGTCCAACATAAACGTGTTCTCCCCAACCTCTCCACTTCAATGTACGCCCTTCCCATGCCCTCCACCTTGCCACCACGCCCCCCATTCAAGAGGCAGCGAGTGATGCGCCGACGCCCGCCGTCTCGTCGCCGCTCTCTCTCTCTCTCACTTTTTTTCAAAATTTTCAATGCTGACAAATGTCTTGGGTTTTTTCTGGCAAGCACAGTTGTTCTGTACACTAGGTAAAAACAGATGTTGTCACCAATGTAATTCTTAGGCAAAAACTCTCTTTTCTCTCTCTCTCTCTCCTCTCTCTCTCTCTCTCTCTCTCTCTCTCTCTCTCTCTCTCTCTCTCTCTCTCTCTCTCTCTCTCTCTCTCTCTCTCTCTCTCTCTCTCTCTCTCTCTCTCTCTCTCTCTCTCTCTCTCTCTTTGCCTCGTGTGTGTGTGTGTGTGTGTGTGTGTGTGTGTGTGTGTGTGTGTGTGTGTGTGTGTGTAAAAGCAGTTTTAGCTTGCGGGTCGACCTTTTGAAAATGACTCGTGCAGGTGAGCGGAGCACTGCTGGTTGAGGACGAGGGGAGGAGGGAGGGTAAGAGGAGTGCTGTGGGATGAGGGATGAGAGTTTGGTGGGCGGTGGTCGGCTGGTTGGTCATGTTTGGTGCCTGCGTGGGGGTGATGGGGGTGCAGGTATCGGAACGCGCTATACGCGCCGTGCCAAGATTTTTGCCATTACCAAGGTAAAGGCCTGACCCTCAGTACCAGGCCGGCAGTCGTGCTACCCCGCTGGGACTTGTATGGATCGACACCTGGCTGATAGGGAGTGTTTGCTACCAGGGCTTTTATGGCAAGCGGAAAAATTGCTGGACCATTGCCATTCGTGCGGCAGAGCGGGCGATGCAGGCCAGCTATATTGGTCGCAAGCTCAAGAAACGTGACATGCGCTCGGTACGCCCCCTCGCATCTCGCCGAACAAACCGACCCGTCCCGCTCCCGGCTCAAGGGTCAAATGCCTTTGAGACATTCGCCACTATTTCGTCTGATGATACGTGTGTGGTGTTCTTCGCCCTCGGCATGCTACATTAGCTGTGGATTCAGCGCATCAATTATGGCGCTAAAGAGCACAATATCAACTACTCGCAGTTTGTCAACGGTCTGGCCAAGGTGGGCCCTCTCCAAATGCTACGCCGTGCACCAAATGATCTGATCAACCTGTACTAAAGCGCTGAATGTATCCGCTCATACGCATTGCAAACCGGACGATCCTTGTGTGTCATCAGGCGGACGTACAACTCAACCGCAAGGTGCTGTCCGAGATGGCCATGCACGAACCCCGCTCCTTCCAGGCTCTGGCCGAGCTGGCAAAGGCCGAACAAAAGCAAGCAGCCACCGGCCTCAAGCAACTTCTCTCCTAAATTCCTGACGCGCCTTCCCCTCTTTCCTCCGTGGGACGCGCCGCGGTTTGGGGTGCGCGTTGTGTGCTAATGCCAACGCTCCGCTGCTCCACTGGATGGGCCTTTGACTTTTTCTTTTCAAATGCATCATGCGTTCGCCTCTTGGCCCATATGATTTTCCACAAACCCAGATCTGTCGGCCGCTGCCCCGCCTCTATGCGGAGCCGTTGGCCGCATTCTCCCTCTTGGCATGTTAATCGATTCGTCCTCACTTCCCTGATTTGGCCAACTTCTTGTCCCATGTACTCAAGGCGCCCCCGCAAATGCCGCACCCCAGCACCATCTCTCCTGCCACCTCTCTTTCGCTCACATGCTAAACTCCCACAAACTCCCAACACAAACACACTCTCTCTCTCTCTCTCTTTTAAGCTCTCAAGCTCTCTCTCAAGCTCTCAAGCTCTCTCTCAAGCTCTCTCTAAGCTTTCAAGCTCTCTCTTAAGCTCTCAAGCTCTCTCTCTCTCTCTCTCTTAAGCTCTCTCAAGCTCTCTCTCTCTCTCTCAAGCTCTCTCTCAAGCTCTCTCTCAAGCTCTCAAGCTCTCAAGCTCTCAAGCTCTCTCTCTCACATGTGAGTTTCTCCTCTCTCATTTTGGAGTCAAAAAATTTTGTTCGTCTGACTAACACTTGCTCTCCTTTTTTTTATCGAGTGAAGTGGAGCCATCCAGTGATAAGCTGAGAGGGTGTCAGGGAGAACACTGGGAGGTATATCATCTGGTGGGAGGACGAGGCGGAATGCCTGCTCTTGTGCCTCAATTAGGACCAGCGTGACAGGGAGTTTTGGCGTGGGAACGCGCTTCATCACCACGACATGGCCATGGCGCCGACCGACCAAGAGCATGATCAGGCAGCGCACGCCGACCGGAACCTGCAGGCCCCACTCTCCACGCCTCGGACGTCAAGTACCTCTTCAGCCGCACCAGCATCTCGTGACGTCTCGGGGGGCTCATCCTACTGGCAATGGTTTGCAACCTCGGCCCGCGCACTCTTTGTCGCGCCATGGGCCGTTGGGGCTCCTGATGCGACGGTCGCCCCTGCCAGTGGTCCCACCACACCGCCCAAGGTGATTGCCAATGCCACTACGGTGGCCGAAGTGTCGGACGAGCTCAACCAATTGGCCACGTCGGATGAAATTGAACGTGTTTTCCATCACATGGACGCTGACGCCAACGGACAACTCAGCCGCTTCGAACTGGCCAAGGCGCTCATGTCACTCGGGGTGGTGGCCAACGCTAGCACGCTTGATGATCTGCTCTTGCGCATTCACGAGGCTGCTCGGGACAACTGCGACGATGACGACAAAAGCGTCTCCCTCACAGAGTTTCGCCTTTTCTACGAGCAACGTCAGGAGCAGCTCTGGGAAGCCTTCCGAGAGCTTCAGCACCAAGCCCAATTTAACGGTAAACTCACGGCTGGTGACCTTCGCTTGGCTCTTTACAACATTGACATGGCCGCCAGCGACGAGGAGATCTCCACTTTTATAAGCATGGCAGACGTCAACCACGACGGTGCCGTCCAGTGGGCTGAGTTTCGAGATTTTCTCCTCCTGCTCCCTGGCACCAATGTCCGCGCCATGTTTGATGAGTACTGGCGTCTCTCGGCCCCCTTTATCGAAAGCACCCACCCCGAGTGGAGCCTCCGCCAGCACTTTGTTGAATCAGTCGATGGGCCCCCTGCCCCGTTCAACTCGGGCCCTACAGACCAAGCGGCCGACACTGATTCCAGGGCCAACGCCGCAGCCGCTGGTCATGCTTGCCGTGATCCCCAACTCTCCCCAACTCAAGTGACCATCCAGCTCCTTGCAGGTGGCATTGCCGGCGCCGTTTCTCGCTCGGCCACCGCACCCATTGACCGCATTCGTCTTATGATGCAAGCCGGCACCGGTGGGGCTGGGAATTTTATCCGTGTCTGGGAACAGGCAGTTCGAGAAGAGGGCTGGTTGGCGCTCTGGCGCGGCAATGGGGTCAACTGTATCAAGATTGCACCGGAAACATCCATCCGCTACGCCACCTTTGATATCTTGAAGCGCCAATTCGCCGCTGATCCGTTTAATGTGACGGTAACGGAACGCTTTGTTGCTGGTGGCATGGCCGGCGCTGCCTCCCAAATGGTCATTTATCCGCTGGAAATTGCTCGAGTACGCCTGGCCCTGGCTCCGCACGGCACCTACAATGGCTTGGCGCATTGCCTTAAGAAGGTCGCAGCCGAGGAGGGTTGGCGTTCGCTATTTTCGGGACTGCGCATCAGTATCATTGGCATCATACCCTTTGCGGGCATTGACTTGGCCTCCAACTCGTTACTCCGAGACGCGGCTGCGCAGTACCTGCACACGGACCGCAACAAACCCTCTGTGCTCACCCTCTTGGGTTGTGGCGTCGCCTCCTCCAGCATTGCCATGCTGGCCACCTTTCCCCTGGGACTGGTTCGCACGCGCCTGCAGGTGAGTGCAACATTCATGTATTGCTGAGCTTCCCGGTGTCCCTTTCCGCGGTAGTAGCCCCGCTTGACACTCATCTTCGTTCCTTTCTCTTTTTTTTTTTTTTCGCTTCGCTTCTCTGCTTTAGGCCTCGGGCATGCCAGGCGCAGACCGCTACGACGGATTTCGCGACGCTTTTAACCAAATTCGACAGCAAGAGGGCTGGCGTGGCTTTTACCGCGGCGTCGTACCAACGCTGCTAAAGGCGGCCCCGGCTGCCAGCATCTCCTATACGGTATACGGCCTTGCAAAACAATATATCAGCTTGGCATATACCCGCGCGTTCGATTCCTGATGCAAAGATATCCAAAGAGTTTGAGTTTGTGCTTGAGTCGCGCATGCATGCGTTCAGCCAAGACCTAATTTACCCCGTGGATATCATGGCCAAAGCCTTGGACAGTTGCACGAGTGCACGCCTGTTTGACTTTGTTTTTTTCCCTCTCGTTATTGGGTCGAGGGATTCAAATCTCAGAGCAGATCTGAGGCCTTTGCTTAGCTCTTTAAAATTTAATGTCGAGACTTGATTCAACTTTCTATGGCAGGATGGGCAAGACTAAAGTCATTGACTGCAGCTCCATTGCCGCGCCAGTTTGGGACCTGGTCCAAGAAGGCATCACGCCGCCTTGAATGGGCGAGCGCCAATCGTTTGGTCGCTGCGTATGTCAATGATGGGGCGAGCACGTCGGCACATCCCAGCTTTTGCACGGTGGTGTGCAACAATTCAAAAAGCGCGTGCTTGGCTAGAAGAGGCCGAGCAAGTAGGAATAGATCGGCACCCGACCCCTTGCCCTTACGTTTAGCCACGCCACCTCGCCGCCCTTTGTTTATGACATCATGCCACTCTGGCTCGCCCGTCGTCGCGAAAAGGACTACCACGCTGTCACTGCAGCCCACAAACTTGACTTGATGCAACTCTAAACGAAAATGCGATGGTGCATCCGTCAGTGTCAACACAGGCACTTGGGCGGTGCCAACGACTAGACGCACCCGCATTGGGATTGGCAAGCAAATACTGCTCCTCCATGTCACGTAGGCAGCTTGCAAATTTGGGCTTGGCCCCTTCTAGACGAGGCTGGCGGAAAATAATCTGGTAAGCTGGAAGCTGACTGCCAAAAAGAGCTCGCAACCTGCGTTCCCAACTTGCTGCGGGGTCTGGATGGTCTCACCTGTTTCTGTAAGGGCCAGAGCGGCGCCGCTTGCTCTGTGGGGTCGCTTGCCTTTGGCGGCGCAAACCCGGCCGTGCGCAGCACGACTGCTCGCTCCATGGCGGGATGGTTAAAGTCACTCGAGACCACAATGCGATGGAACCCAAAAGGCTCCAGCACCAAACTAAGCAATGCGCCTTGAGCCCCACACCAGGCCCTGAACACCGGTGGTCGTCAGAAGAGGGCCCGCAAGAAGAAGAAGGCAAAGGAAGGCAAATATGTGGCAACATGCTCTAACCATTTTGCAAGTTTATCGGAACAGCACATGGAATGGCTCGGCGGACCTCGCCCGGGTTTGGTGCGCCAAAGTCCCGTTGTGTGATAGGCAGCGCCATCTGACATTGGCTCCTAGACAGAGACCAAAAAGGTTGAGGCCAATGGCGCACGGGCTCGGCGATAGTGCGAGCACGTCTTGGCTACCTCGACACCAGCACGATTCGATTTGGCACCAGTTCGGCGCACGTCGACCTTGGCGTCTACTGCAGTGGTGACTTTTGCGCGTTTAGCCGCATCTGAGGAACAGCGATGAAGCACGTTGTCAGGCCAATCGCGGCCGCTAGGGCAAACGCACAAGCCCACAGCATGGACGTACGGATACGTTCTGTCTCACTCAGCTCAAAAATGCATGCGTCGCCACCTAGATGAGCCAGCAGGATGTTGGTGGAAACGAGGATGTGTGTGCCGAGCTGGGCAGGGGCCGGTGCAATTGTGGCGCAAATGCTCAACTTCGTACAAGGGGCCTGGCTAATGTAGAGCGCTATGGTGACGTCGTGTCGAAAGCGAAAGTAGGGTACGGAATTCCAGCTCGCAGGAGCCGCATGCGGTGGCCTTGATGTGGGTTCCAGCCATGGCGACGAGCCGGTTGCGTGCGCGCGCTGAATCTCCTCGAAACAAAACCTAGACGCAGCAAGCATTTTGCGTGACTGCCCTGCGACGGCGGGGAGCTCGACGCACAAGGAACCAACTTGATAAAGGCACGACGGGCCAGAACTTCTGCGTGTTGATCAACTACAAGGCCACCCTCCTTGTCCAGGCGCTCGTGGCCCAAACACTTGGTGCCCGTGGCCAAACAGGCCACGTGCTATAGCTCGCATGAACACAATGACGCATGCAAAATGGCCTATGAGAGGCGACACGCGCGCGAGTCTGGTCTTCAAGTGGACACACGGGCACACACCTGATGATCAGGGCGGGCCAAATGCACGCCGGCCAGCACACTCCATTCCAGCTCCCGTGGGTTTGGCTTTCCCTTGCGTGGCAGACGATTGTAGCGATCCAGCACGGCCGCTGTGCACGCCCGGCCATGAGCCCACCAGCTCTCCTCGCCACACGGTCTAAAGCAACCCCGGCAACCGCGCACACCCTCTTCCCCTCCTCGGCTCGGCAACGACACACCTGCAATTTCATCCGCCGTCGGCTCAGCCATGCTCCCAAGCGCCGACACTCACGTTCACCCCGCAAAGCCACCACACACACACATCGCTCGGACCCTTGAAAGACTGTGAAAGGGCTCGCTCTCAAACTCCAACCTCTCTCTCTCTCTCTCTCTCTCTCTCTCTCTCTCTCTCTCTCTCTCTCTCTCTCTCTCTCTCTCTCTCTCTCAAATCTCTCTCTCTCTCTCTCAAATCTCTCTCTCTCTCTCTCTCTCTCTCAAATCTCTCTCTCTCTCTCTCTCTCTCTCTTTCTCTCTCTCTCTCTCTCTCTCTCTCTCTCTCAAATCTCTCTCTCTCTCTCTCTCTCTCTCAAATCTCTCTCTCTCTCTTTCTCTCTCTTTCTCTCTCTCTCTCTCTCTTTCTCTCTCTCTCTGAATCTCTCTAAAACGATCTCTCTCTCTCTGAATCTCTTAAATCTCTATCTCTCTCTCTTTTATCTCACTCCTTAAATCTCTCTCTAAATTTCTCTCTCTCTTTCAAATTTCCCTCTCTCTCTCTCTCTCTCTCTTTCAAAGTTCTCTTTCGCGCATTTTTCTTGACGTTTGGAGCCGTGTGAGCGCGCTCCCCTCCGAAGTTTGAAGTACTGTTGTGCACTGAGACGGGAGCACGTAAGGCGTGTGAGCTGGGATTGGCTTTGAATGTTTGGGTCTTGAGGGAGAAGGCTCGCGGGTCGTCGAGGGGATAAGGCCGACGAGACATCGTCAAGATGGCGCAGCGCGCATTGTTGGGTTTAACACTGGCACGCACCGGTCGCGGCTTGGCCTTGCGCTTGCCGACTCGGGTTGTTGGCTCGACACCGGCGTTCCGCATTGTGAACGCTCATACCCGTCGCTACATGGGTACAACGGAGCATATCGAGCAGGTTCGAATGCACGGGCTGGGCGCCTGATGCAAATGATTTGCACTTGACTTGGCAAGGCGAATCGGTTATGTACCTTGAGCTCATGATCACCATACTCGGCTGGGGATCGGTGACCGCAGGCATCCGAAAGACATGCCATCAAGAGCTTCTTTTGGTGGCGCCGTTGGACCAAAGAACCAGGACTCCTCATGCTCCGCCTTAACGGCCCCTTGAGCGAGGCACGATCGCTGGACCTGCCAAGCTAGCTCAATGCTCAGTCGAGATTGCTCACGACACCACGTTCTTCGACCATGCAGGACGCTGCAGCCTCTCCCTTGGAGCGCATGGCCCCAGATCGCAAGCCATCATTCGACGATACCATGAGTCTCCTCCGCAAGGCACAGCACGATCCCCTGATCCACGGTGCGCTCCATGTACAAATCACGCTGGCCAGACCAATGCCTCGGCCCGAAAACACACTTGATCATGCTCTTGCCTTGCCCTGCACCATGTGGCACTGTAGCTGTCTGGTTGGACTTGGATGGTTACGCCGCACCCTTGACCAGAGTAAGCCCTTTGCCCTCGCAACACGAACATGATGTTTTACATACTCAAAGGCCAAAATGGCTGATCTTGGCACCTGCTGTCCACCAAACGTCCCCTTGCAGACAGCCGAGCTAGTCCAGCGTATTCAGCAACTGCAAGCGGCTGGAACCAAGGTTTACGTCTATGGCACAGTCATTACACACGCGGTGTGTTTGGGTGCACCACAACTCTTTGGCATTTTTATCATCATGCCAGTACGCTGTTGTTAAATTTGTGCACACTGGACCCTGCACCATCTCAGGTGGCTCTTGTTGGCGCGGCCGCTGAGCGTTTCTTTGCCCCCAGCTCTGCCTCTGTCAACTTGCATGGTGAGTGAGAAAGCCCAGGGACGTCCAAGTGCATACAGCAAGGCTAGTTGTTCCTCATCAGCGCTCACGCCGGATGTGGCAGGCTTCTCCTTCCGCGTCTCGGCCTACAAGCCGTTCTTACAAAAGCTTGGCCTGGATGTAGAGGCGGTCCGCTCTGGTACGAATCCCTCAACTTAGCACCTAACAGCCCATACCCCTTTCAACCTTTGGCCTTTCCTTTTCTTGCATCACAGTCGCACGCCGCGCGGTGGCGGCCCCGCGTAACTCGGCTCACGTTTGCTGGACTCGTAGGCGAGTTTAAGGGTATTGTCGATACCTTTGCTGCCGATGACGTCAACCCGGCGGTCGTGCAAAACATGGGCGATCTGCTTCGCGGCATGACCAAAAGCTACACGGAGCGCCTCAGTCAGCTCGTGGAAAGCCTGGATGCGACCGCCGCGGCTCAATTGCTGGTCGATTCGCCCGCCATTGATGACTTGGCCCAGCATTTTCCAAATCTGCAGATTGCTTACAAAGGTACGCACCACGCACGCTAAACCCCGCGTGCTCTGATGACCAGGCTGAATTTTCACCGCGGCAATGAAAATAAATTAGACGAAGCATATGCGGATGTGGTGCGCACGCACAAGCCCGATGCTGCACCAAAAACGCGCTTTGTCGTTCCAGAGAAGCGCTACGCTCGCTTTTCTTTGAAAAAGGTTTGACTGCCTCATCTTTGGACAGCCCGCGATGAGGCGTTTTTTCAATATTGATTGCGCGCCAACAATCACCCTACATGGGCTCTGCTTCGCAGATTGGAGTCGCCATCTCTGCCAAGTCTTCACGCGTCGGTGTCATCCGTTGTGGCGGCACCATTGTCTCTGGCAAGGGGCAACGTGGCTCCTTTGGGCAGGACAACATCATCCCCATGTTGTGGTTAGTCTGCAGTGGCATCGAAGCTCGTGGGCCTCGGGGCCGGGGTATTCTTGGGAGCAGTTGTTGGTCTAATGATTGCCATTTTGCTGTGTGGCGTAGGGAAGCGCATCGGCGAGCCGACATTGATGCTGTGGTGCTGCGGGTCGATTCTTCGGGTGGCTCTGCGCTGGCCAGTGATCTCATTGCGCGCGAGGTACAACCATGTCTATCGTTACCAACGTAAGACGCCCTTTCTGATGCCAGCGTCTGATGCGCTTGTTAGGTGGCGCGCTTGGCAGCTGTGAAACCGGTCGTGGCCAGCTTCGGGACCCTGGCCGCTTCTGGCGGCTACTACATCTCGGCACTAGCTCAGTACGTGACACGCCAGACCTGAGCGACCTTGAGGCGTAATGCATGCTCATTTGACACGCGAGCACTGTGCTTGCCTGCGTTTGGATAGCACTATTGTAGCTGATCCGATGAGCATCACGGGCAGCATTGGCGTGGCCATGCTCCGACCCAACGGTCAAAAGCTCATTGACGACATGATGGGCGTGCGCCATCACTTGATCAGTGAGGTACGGCACCAATTAACTTGATGGCGGCGGCGAGACACCCACAGCCGTTGCTGATTTGTTCTGCTGGCGCTCGGCCCGCACAGCCCGGCCCACTGGCACGCGTCAATGACTTTTATGCACCCATGTCTCCCGAGGTCCGCGCCTACTTGGACAAGCGCAGTGAAGAGGTGTACCATGCCTTTCTCAAGATTGTTTGTCAAGGTGTGACGTATTGACAACTGCCTGGTGTCAGGGGCCAGTGAACCGATCTGTCCTCGGGCCTCTGCTTGTACTATGCATGGCGTGCCTTTGACTGCTGACAAACTGGCTGCTTATACGGTAGGGCGAGGCATGAGCTTGGAGGAGGCCGAGAAGCATGCCAAAGGTCAAGTGTTCTCGGCTGAACAAGCACAGCAGCGCGGCCTTGTGGATCAACTTGGGAGCCTGCAGGATGCAGTGGACCAGGTTTGAGCCGGCCATGCAAAACAGAGATGCATCAGGGCTTAACATAAGACTTGGTAAATTCAAGCTCCTCTTCTGCTTCTGTGGGTGCTGGGCTAGGCGGCTAAACTTGCGCAAAGGCGACAAGTCACGCCTGGACAAACCCTTTATGAAGTTTTGCGGCCCAAGATGTCCTTCCTTCAGGTGCGTTCTGACTGAGACGTTGCGACTGACCATGCATTTTCTCACCAGCTGTTGCACTGGACAATAGCGCCAGTTTATGGGCTCCAACAAGTTTGTGATTGATGCTCTCGGCTTCCCCAACATCAATCAGCTTCTTGCGTCAGGAAGTGAGTAGCGGAAAAACCACCACAACATGCCTGCTCGCGAGCTGGCTGGAAAGAGTGCTCATCCGCAATGCTCCCGCCTTGCTTGCCCGCCTCGGTCCGTAGTCGATGATCCTGCCGTGCATCTCGCTCAAAGTGGTGACTTGTATTTGGGCCATCCACTGCTGTTGGCCACGCCAGACCCTCGCCTTGAGCCGTAGGGGACTTGCCCAGTAGTATTTGTGTGGCTGTTCGTCACAAAAGCATGCTCCTATGGATTCGAATTCTGATCCAATTATTTTGACTTGGAATCTGAAAAGTTCTCGGCAAAGCAGTGGCGGTCATTCAACCAGTGCTCAATAGCGGAGCAATGATTCGATCTGATGATCTGCCATGTCCTGCCTCAGCCAACGGACTGACCCTCCCTGCTTTGGCACGCAGTCATTGCATAACAAAAAGCCTCCTACTCCCCTTCTACCTCTACCAGCCCCTCCCACATTTATCCTCTCAACATCTCTCGCAAGCGCTTTTATCCACTTCTTCGTCTCTCTCACACTTCATCGAAACCTCTCAAAATCCTCTGCTTCCCATTTACTTCTCTGAATGATCCATACTGTGGTAGTTGTACTTTTCCTTTGTGTCTTTGCTCTTTACCTCTCTCTTTCTCAAACCGACCAAACCAATTCATTCTCTCTCTCTCTCTCTCTCTCTTGTCTCTCTCGCCTTACATGTGTGACGTTGTTGTTTGCTTCTGCAGTTTCTCTCTCTCTCTCAAAAAAAAGAGAAAAAAAAAAAGCACGTGTCCGGGTCGTGAGACACGCGTTTGGCAGCCGCGACACGGCCATCCAGGGTGAAAGACGGGGGCTCGCATAGTGGGCCCTATAGCTCTTTGTGTCCGAGTTGCTGTTCCAGCGAGCAGCAGGGATAAGGCTGTGAAGAAATTACACTTGTTCGCCAGTGGTGTGCTTGGCAAGTCGGCTGACACCTCGCGAGATGGACCGCGGAGGCTTCAACCCGGCCGTGATGGCACAACACCATCGCCGCACCGACACCGTTCGCAACATCTGTACGCCGCTCACACCATTATTCGTCGTGTATGCCGTCTATTTGCGTCGCCTTCTCCCCTCATCTCGTGTCCTCGCGTCCCACGCTCGCCACCTCGTGCAGGCATCCTGGCCCATGTTGATCATGGTTGGACCCGCACGCTTGAAGCGTTTGCTTGCTCTGCGACCCCCCGCCCCCAGCTAATCAACCGTCACCCTTGGAAACAATTCTAGGCAAAACCACCATGGCCGACACCCTTCTTGCGAGCAACGGCATCATCTCCTCGCGCATGGCTGGCAAGGTAGCTGCTGCGGTTCCGATTTTTGCACCTTTTTCACCCCTCAGCGCACTCACTGCCTGGGTCCCATGAACAGTTGCGTTATCTGGATAGCCGCCAAGATGAGCAAGCTCGCGGCATCACAATGAAGTCCAGCGCCGTTACCCTTCTCCACCGCTTTGGTGTGGCCTGCGTGTGCCCCTTGTGAATCCTCGCATTAGTCACGAGCCAGCGCGCTAGGTTGTGCTCGGACGTTTTTGCTGTCCAACTTCAGCTTCTGACTTGTTGTGACTCTTGTCTTTTGCAGATAACAAGCCTTTTCTCATCAACGTCATCGACTCCCCGGGTCATATTGACTTTTCTTACGAGGTACTGTCCTGCTCTGCTCACCTTCGCAGCACGCTAGACACCGCGCTCTTCTCGGAGCCCTTCCCGCGCTCATGCATGTGCTTAACCTGCCCATCCAGGTCTCCAGCGCCGTGCGTCTCTCCGATGGCTGTATTGTGCTAGTGGATGTGGTCGAAGGCGTCAGCGCACAAACGCACGCCGTGCTTCGCCAGGCTTGGATGGAGAACCTCAAGCCTTGTCTCGTTCTCAATAAACTCGATCGGTGAGCCCAGCAGAGCTCTGTTCCAAACGGCCAGTATACCATCCAAGGCTCTGTCTGAACCTCGTTGCGCAATGCTTTACCGGCACCTCTACCATAGGCTGATTCTGGAATTACAAATGACGCCCGAGGAGGCGTACGAGCACATGCAGCGTATTCTGGAGCAGGTGGGTTTTCTGACCGCTCCAGCAGACCTTTTTTCCCAACAGTCAAGCGCGCTCATTTGTCTCCTGTGGGGCGCACCCTCTCAGGTCAATGCCATCACGGCGTCGCTGTTTACCAGCCGCATGATTGCCCGCTTGGACCAGGAGCAAGAGAACACCACCGATACCGGCGAGGGTCCGTCATGACGTCTGTGAACTGGGATAGCCCCGCATTGCAGCCCTCACTTGAATCCCATCCCCTCCCTGTGTGCACATGTTTACAGGCGCTGTTGAGTTTGAGTGGGACGATACGATGGATGTGAGATGTTGTCGCGAATTGGGCGTGTCAATACATGACGGGCAGGCAAGCACCAATTGCGCACCCGCGCTCACATACACCTCAACATCTATGCGCCTTGCTATTTTTCACAGGATGATTCGGGTCGCTATTTTGAGCCCGAAAACGGCAACGTCGCCTTTGCGAGGTAAGCTCAGGCAGATGGATACATTGCCACCCTGCCGTAAGACTGTGTACAGTCCCAGGTCATGTCTGTCCTTTGCCTCTCCTTTTTGCTCACCTCGATCAATCCGCTTCCCAAATTGTTCTCGGCACATCCAGTGGATACGATGGTTGGGCGTTTAGTGTGGACAGTTTTGCCACCTTGTTGGCTCAAAAGTTCAAGTGCAGTGAACGTGCTCTGCGCCGATGCCTCTGGGGTGACTACTATCTCACGCGTGAGTCGATACATGCATTGACCCACCTCTACCCCCCTTTGCCAGCGCATCCTGATTGTCTTGTCCTGTCGCGAATTACAGGTGAGAAGGGTGTCACCAAGGTCAAAAAGGGTGCGCGCATGAAAGCTAAAACGCCCATGTTTGTCAAGTTTGTCCTCGAGCCGATTTGGGAGCTGAACAAGGTGATTATGGACAACAATGATCGTGAGCGCATGCAGAAGATGATTGCGGCCCTCAATGTCAAGGTCTCTGCCCGTGAACTTCTGGCTGACCCACGGGTACGTTGTGGCCTTTCAAGCAAAGCCTGTGAACCGCGCTTCCAGCAGTAGCTGGCGACATGGCTCACCAAACTGGACTGTTGCTATGCAGACGAGGTTGACTGGTGTCATGTCAGCTTGGTTGCCCTTGGCCAAGACCATTTTGGATTTGGTCTGCCGTGTGCTGCCCAGTCCCAAGCAGCTCGAGACTGAACGTTTTCACAACTTGCTCAACACTGGTCTTGCGCCGACACAGGCCCTGCCTGAGGTGCGCAAAGCCAGCCCGCTTTCATTTTTTTTTTCCAAATGCGCAACAGACGAACCAGCACGCAGAGAATAAAACAAACAAGTCCTGTTTTTTGGTTTTGGGGGTTTGTTTGTTTTCTTCTAGCTCACTGGGACCCCTTGAATAGGCCCGACAGCGATTGGCCGAAGGCATGTGCGCTTGTGCCGTCGACGAGGCAGCCCCAGCCGTCGTTGCCTACGTGTCCAAGATGGTAGCCGTCCCTCGTGCTTCCTTGCCAGAGAACGAGCGTCAACAAGCGTCCATGGAAGAACTGCAAAAGCGGTATGTTTATCAACAAAAGCCCATCCCTCGAGCTGCGCCGTGATTGTGGCTTTCTGACCCGCCTTTGATGTGGGACATGATACAGCCGAGCCTCGATCATTGCACGTCGAAAGGCTGAGGCAGGCGAAGCGAATGTCGGCGAAGCGAATTCGGACTCGGATATGCCACTCGTCGATGCAGATGGGCATCCGCTGGATGCCAACACCAACTCGAATACGAGCACCGCCGAAGACGAGGCCACTGCTGCGGAGGAAGCGCCAGAGGACCCCATCGCCTTTGTGGCCTATGCACGGGTCTTCTCAGGCACCCTTCGCCCGGGCATGCAGGTCGGTTTGTACACTATTATGCGTTGCGTTTCCGTGTCCGATTCTCGCCAGCTCTTAATCGGCTGCTGCACCGGACATGCTGGGTTCAGATTCATGTTTTGAGCCCAAAGTACGATCCTGCGCGCCCAACCGAGCATGTGACCACAGTAACCGTGGGTCGACTCTATCTCTTCATGGGCCGATCAATGCTGCCCTTGCAAGAAGCTGTCGCTGGTGCGTCTGCACCACGCCCTGCTCTTCCCACTCGCGCACAGCTCTTCGATCGTTGCTGGCGAGGAATCATATCGATACGCTTTGGTGGACTTGCAGGGACTGTGGTGGGCATTGGAGGACTTGATGGAACGGTGCTCAAGTCTGCCACCTTATCCAGGTTTGTCAGCTATTTCATCTCCCCAGTTTTGAGTCTTCCACTGTCTGCCTGTGCGAGCGACGCTTGCCACTGGCTCTTGTTTGTTTGTGTACAACTGTACATTTGTGTCCGTCTGCCTTTGGGATCCTGTGTGGCTGGCCTATGACTCAAATGCCAAATGGCCGTGTGCCTTAGTTCTCTCGAATGTCCGCCTCTGAGCGGCATGTATCAACACGTCAAGCCCATTGTGCGTGTTGCTCTGGAGACGGAGCGTATTCAAGACATGGCAGCCCTGAAGCGCGGCCTGATCTTGCTGAACCAGGTTTGTTTCACGCATTACATTCAGTGCAGCCACAACCAACGATGGTTCTCTTTTTTGCTGTTTCTGCCCCTCGTGCATGTGATGATTGTTGAAGATTTGACTTGACATTATTTTGTGAACCAACATCGTGTCGCGATCATGCCACGGCCAGGCCGATCCTTGCGTTGAGACGTATGTGCAAGAGACCGGAGAACACGTGCTGGTTGCCGCAGGCGAGGTGCACATTGAGCGCTGCCTGACAGACTTGAAGGAACAGTTTGCTCCCGGTAAGTACCACCCGCGACCCCTTGCATGTGTTTGCCGACACCCTCTCACATTGCCCCATTTGCCACAGGCATTAAGATCCACGTTTCCCCGCCGATCATTCCCTTCCGCGAAACAGTGATTCCACCACCCAAGATGGACCAAGCAAATGAAGAAATCGCACTCCAAGCCGACAAGGGCGAGCGCAACGTTTATCTCCTGGGTGAGTCACAGTCATGGTCTGAACATTTCCATCATCAAACCGCCTCCTGCACCTGGGCCTCAGTATTGCTCAATGCTGGCCCAAATCTGTGCTTCACTCTGTCATGTTTATAGATGACAGCGTGGAAGTAGATGATGACATGATCGTCACTGTGGCAACGGCGGATAAGGCATGGACGCTGCGCGTTCGCGCTGAGCCTCTTCCAAGCCCCATGCTGGCTTTTCTGGATGAAAATCAAGATGGTCTGCGTGCGCTGACCTCACGTATGTATTATAACGAAGTCCACACCTCCAATTTAACTTGGCCTGTCTAGAGCTGTCTTGTATCTTGCAAGCGGTCGATTTTCTCCGTTTTCATGTGCTCTTGATTTCGGCGCTGGCCCGTAGGCCTTGATGAAGGGGATCGTTCTGATCCTGGTACGACCGAGGAGAGCGAAGAACGTGCACGGGCAGTGCTCGAGGCATTTCAAGCTGCAGTCGCGAACAAAGATGACCCTTGCGACTTGTTGCCAGAGGACGTGGTGGCCTTTGGGCCACGAGGCTGTGGCCCCAACATCTTGGCCAGCAATCTTCCCGAGCTGCAAAGTATCGCGCTCTTTGCCAAGCTTGGCGTCATGTCACTCCCACCGGCAGCAGACTTGAAGACCGACGTTGTCAATGCCCTCAACTCATTCAAAGTCGGCTTTGAGATTTTCGCCCAGGTCAGTGTGTCGGTTGCGCGCGACTCAGGTGCACAAGACTTGTAGGTGCCGGCCGTACTTGTGAGCAAGTGCTCACGACTTATCCGTTGATTTTGCCTTGGGTGTGTATGCCATTCATCCAGACTGGGCCTCTCTGCGATGAGCCCGTACGTGGCGTCTGCATCCGGGTACGTATTGATGGCCTGCGTGCTCGAGTGTGGGGCCGCTTGCACAGGAAGTTTGTAGCTCAACCGGACACCTGGACTGCAGGTGCTTGAGATCAGCCCAGTTGCTGGAATGGAGAGCACCGCGGCCACTCTTTCGGGTCAATTCATGTCGTCGATGCGTGAAGCTTGCCGTCAGGTCAGTTTCCACTCGCAAGACTTTGCTGTCACCGCATACCCGACAACACATGACAGTTGCCATATTGAGCACATGAATAGGCCTTCCTTGTGCAACCCTGCCGCTTGATGCTGGCCATGTTCAAGTGCAATCTACTGGTCAACTCGAATGCCCTTGGCAAGGTGAGTTTTTTGCCCCACCTTTCATGGCTCGGCCATGCCAGTTGCAGCTCAGCTTTGTGGGTGCTTGCGCTACAGGTCTACACGGTCATCAACAAGCGCGGTGGCCGCGTTGTATCGGAGGAAATGAAGGACGGCTCTGATAGTTTTGAGGTCCGCTTGCATAGACGTGCTTTGGACCTTGGTCGACCCGCGCGCTTTCTTGATGTTATGCTCACTCGGCGTGGCGTTGATGGAAACAGATCTTGGCACACATTCCCGTCACGAATAGCTTTGGATTTGCCGAAGAATTGCGCAAACGCTCTTCGGGCCTGGCCGTCCCTCAGTTGATTTTCAGGTGTGACCACATGCAAACCAGAGCCAGCCTTGACAGATTCTCATTGGTTGCTGGCCTCATGGATGTATCTACCTTGCTGCTTTACCTCACCCTGCAGCCACTGGGAGGTCTTGGAGGAAGACCCTTTCTGGATTCCGACAACAGAAGAGGAGAAGGCGCATTTCGGCGACAAAGGCGATGCACCCAATGTGGCACGTGACCACATGAACGGCATTCGCAAGCGTAAAGGTCTTGCTGTTGAAGAAAAGCTCGTGGAGCACGCAGAGAAGCAGCGCACCATGGCTCGCAAGAAGTGATGTGGCAATCATGTCCCGCCTGTATCCTTCTCCTCCCTACTCTTTTCTCACATGCTAATGCGATTACTGGGTCTTCAAGTTGTCCCAAATCTCCAATCCACATGCACACACGCGTTGATGCTCAAGCACAAAGAAGCAATCTGAACTTCCTTGTGGCCTGTAAATTGAACTCGTTTTCCATTTGCGCTATCCAACTTGATAATATCTTACACAAGGCCATAATGTTCTAGCGTACGTCCAATCTTATGCTCAACTTTTCGTGGCAGATCCACGGGGGCGACCTGCAGCGCGCAGCGCTGTCATAAAATCATAAAATCTAGCAAATAGCTCGTTGATGGTGACTCGCGTTGAGTCTTCACCGAAATAGCGAATCGTCTTGTCGACCGCGGTTTCAACGGCCTCCATGCGTGAGCTTAGTTGCTCCAGTTGCACCTGGGTTTGACCGATTAACCGCAGCCCATAGAAAGAATTGAGCAAATAATTCGGCAACTACTTTGTGATGCGGCCCGTCGACGCGACACGGCGCAGCTTGTTTTCATTTCATCCCCACCTGTGCTTGCTGAAAAAAGCTTTGCAGCTGCTGGCCATGCTCTTTGAGCTTGGGCAGCGATTGTCCCATACGAGCGAGCTCTGAGGGAGAAAGAATAGCGGTCAGTTGTGAATGTCTGTCATTCAAACGCCACCGATTGAAGATGGTGCGTGCCAGGCACGACTGGTGACGGTGTTTGACTCACTCGTGCGCAGGCTATTTGTATCGTGCTTCAGCGTGGCGAGATCTTGCGGACGGGCGGCCTCCACAACTCCAATTTCCTCGTCCAAGTCCACGCATTCGGGTCTAACACAATAGCCAAGATAATGAGTGGTCAAATGCTGCACAAGTAGCCTCAAGCACAAGCCACCAAAAAAAATCACGCGGTCACACCTCTGGTCAGCAATCGTCATGGCCAAGAACGTAAGTAAGGACGTGGACCGATCTTTGCCCGCCTTGATGTCTCGAAGCTTGAGCAGACTATTAAATTCCAGAGGCGAGCGACAGGCATGCATTTTGAGAAAAAGACAAGAAGACTGGTCCCAGAAACACAAGCAATCTAGCCATCAAGGCGGAAGTGAGCAACGAGCAAACCTCTCTGTGGAAATGCCGTGCGCCAGCCGACGTTGCGAGGGATGGGCATAGCTGTAGTTGGTCAGGTTACCCAGGTCCAAGGCCTACAGAAAATTGATTTGTAAGAGCACAAAGGGGTCGCGACTTGAAAGACGGGCCCTTCTGGACTTGAACGTACCAGCTTGAGAACAACACGAAGATTCGTGCTGGCCTGGAGACAGGAACACGCTGTTTCTAGCGTTGCCAGCCCCGAAGCCACTGCATCGTGCCTGCATGAAAATTATCGGCTCACCCAGTCAAAAATTGTTGACCAGCCACAACAAAGCAAACTGAATGGCTTGCCAATCACTGACCGTTCAAAGAATTCTAGGCGCACCATAAAAGCATCCACCATGGCTGCCATATCCACGTTGCGCTCCAGAACCGCCCTGTTTAAGAAAGACGCGCGTGAACACAAGTGCATGATAGCACACGCGTGAGTCGGGCGAAAACCCAGCGACATGAATCTCAGCATAGAATGCAACGCATACATATGGAAGCGTTCGGGCTCGGGGAGCTCGCTGGGGTCGCCCTTGAAGAGACGTAGTAGCTCAATTTCTTCTGGCCTGTATCATCGTGAACCAAGAAGAGGCCGATGCGAGAGCAAGAGGCGTGGGATGCGAGAGCAAGAGGCGTGGGTTAGCAATGCACAAGGCTATGAAAGCAGTGAGTGCCTCACGCCCAGTCATCAAATGCACCTGGGCAATGCCTTTTTGAACATTTCAAGTTCATCAGCAGTCCATTCCGCATCAAGAGTGAGGATGCTTTCCAGCAAGGCATCGACGGTCGCATGAATTCTGCAAGGATATGACCATGACAGACCCCAAAAAAATTGAAAATGCGTTAACGCAAATACCTTTGTGCGGTTCTCAGCCTGTCTGCGCAAGCTGTTTCTTCTGTTTACAGGCGGAAGCGAAGACGAAGACAAACTTGAGAAATCGACGTAGCACAATGCTGACGTTGCGGCTACGGTTGCTGTCCAAAATGTTAAGAGATGATTGTTTCTTCAAGGCCGCGGCTTTGGCCTTGCGCTCCCGCTCCCGCTCGAGGCCTGCAGCGTGCTCCTCAGCGGTTTGACAAAATAAGGACTCGAATGCTTCAACATCCACCTGAATGGCATCTTGGTGAGCTTCCGCCTGTGCATCTTGCCAAACAGTCTCCCTAGCAAGGGCAGCAGAAATGTCAGAGCACATGAGGGGCCATGCTCCACGCAAAGCCCGCGTGTAGACTTTGAGCGTAAGGAACAAACAAGCATCGCGCGAACGAATAAAAGAACTGACTGCAGCTGATACGCCGGTAAGGCCCGCCAGTGCAGCTTGGAGGGCATAATTTTGTCGGGCACGACTGGCGTCTGTGGAGCAACAGCTCCGCCAATGGGTGGTGGTGGTGGTGGTGGCACGCCGCCCGGGCCTCCCATGGGTGGTGGTGGCGGTGGTGGTATGCCACCCGGGCCTCCCATGGGTGGTGGTGGCGGTGGTGGTATGCCACCCGGGCCCCCCATGGGTGGTGGTGGCGGTGGTGGTGGTGGTGGCGGTGGGACGCCTTCTGAGCCTCCCATGGGTGGCGGTGGCGCCGGCGCCGGCGGTGACGGCGCGAGTGTGGGAGACGAAACGCTTTTGACATTGGGTGGGTTGGCAGAGAGTGATACATTTGAATCGTCTGGCGACGACTCCGTACCAGTCGGGTGCTTTGCTGTGGACACGGCCACGGCAACTCCTGGCCCACGTTCATCAACTTCAGTCGATCCCTCGCTGAAAGCAGCAACGGCTGCCTGTTCCGAGCTTGCCAAGGCGTGTGGAGAAGTATCCTCATTGGATATAGACTTGGTGTCATCGCTCGATGCTGTGGGCGCAGTGGCATCCTGGCGAGACGCTTTTCTGGAGCTGCGGCTTTGCTGCCGTGAAAACTTTTGCAGCCTACAGGCACGCATGCATCGCAGGAAGTGAGTCTTGATGGGAAGTAAACATTCAACATTCTGTACATGGCCCCTGAAGCTCAAGCACACCTGCGTCGGGCTTTTTCGAGTTGGCTCTGTCGCTCGGCTTCCTCTGGAAAGACCACGGGCGGGGTAGCAGCATGCAAAGCCACAAGTTCTGCCTCGCTTTGAATAGCATCGACGCTGAACAAGATATCATGCAGCGACATGTCGGCACCAGCAAAGGCAGATGCCAGATTACCGAGCCCGGGGCCAGACAGCTCCTGGTCGATTCGTTTGGCTTCGGGGAGTGGCCCGTCGATTGTGTTGTCAGGCACACCAGAAGGTTTACTGGGCTGTGCGTTGGCGGCTGGATTCCTAAGATCATGGGAGCTGCTGTCTCCGTCGTCTTCCAGAAAGGCGCTCAAGCTGAGACTTTGATCGAGTTCATGAACACTCAGAGAGGCCAAGCCTCGACGTGTCCACTCGGCTAGAAACTGGTGAGCCTCCATGAGATCGTTCTGACAGAGCTGGAGGGCTAAGCGCTGTTCAATGATTGAGCTGCCTGTGAGCGCGAGGGCTTGAAGCTGCTCGGCCCCTGGCATGGTCGCATGAGTGAAGCATAGTGTGGAAAGGGTCTCAAGGACGGTGGGTGACACGTTGAATGCTCGGCTGAGCATGTCGGCATCATCCTGTAGCACCGTGGACCGAGATAGCAAGAGGGGTGGGCTCGTGATACACAGTGGCCAAAGGTGCTGCCCCTGTACATCATGAACAATGTCCATGGGTGGTGCCGCCGGCGGGCCTCCGATGGCATCGCCCCTTGCGGGGCCTGACACGGCATGGGTAGCAACATCGATGGATGCTGGAATGAAGGGCAGGTGGTGGCGATCGGCCAGGGGGAAAATGCGACAGTCCGCGCGTGACACGCGTACAAGACCCTCGGCCATGAACCCAGTATGGAAGGAAGCGCAAAGGACGCGCTTGGGCGGCTCACGGTCATCGCCAGCGTGCGCAGAAAGCAGAGTCAGTTCGACGGCACCACACACGAGCAGTTCCTCAAAGGCAAAGGACAAGAGATCTTCATCAGCGGTGATACGACACCGAAACGTGACGAGGCTCGAGTCGAACACAAGTTGACCGTTGACACGTAGTTGCAGGACGGGAAAATTATCATTGTAGTATCGTCCGGGCTCATCATCGCTGGGCAGAAAGAGAACGGAGCGCAGTCGCATGGGTTTTGGGTTGCTGACTCGACCGCCTTGTTGAAGGGCGATGAAGAAGTGTGTGAGGGCACTACGGTCGCGATGGTTGGTCGTGTATGAACCAAGACACGACAAGACATGAGCTGACACCAGAAAGGCTGGTCACAGAGGCGGGGCGCCGAAGGTGGACTCCACCACCAACGAAAGAGAGACACCGTCATGCCATGAAAAAAAAAAAGTACGCACCCACGAATGGTCGCAGGAATGTCTCCCGCAATGTTTCGAGAGTGGCAAAACTGAGTCAGGGCCTCGTTTGGCTCGTCAAAGGCCTGGGAAAAGAGCCAGCTAGCCACCACGGCCAGTCCGGATCGCAGCTACAAGCAGAGAAGGTCGGGGTGCAGCGCGATACGGGAGAGCATGAACAGATGCTCTGGCAATGTGACACAAGCAAGTTAATCACCGTCACCCAAGGCGGACCGCGGGACGGAGCAACATACTAGACCATTCTCACAATGCACCACAATGACGTGCTGCGTGCTTAGGGCAGTCCAAGCCGCGACGGCATGGGCAAAGGCGAAGAGACTGGCGAGCGTTGGGCTTTGAATGGGCACATCAAGGTGCAACACCTGGTTTGATCATTATGTTTGTGTTTGTTTGTTTTTCGTTTGTACAGGTGTGGAGAAATGCAGCCAGCCACAATCTGAGCCTTGCGAGCTGAGGATAGTAGGGGTTAGCGCGAGCAAGGTGTGACCGACCTGATGATGAAACAGGGATTCGTCGTAGCTTCCGTTGCGCTGACTAGGTATCAGGTTGACCAAAAGATAGTGGGTGCCGTGGTTGTAATTGAGATAGTCGGCCAGCTCCTGCACGTTGCATCGATGCGATTTCTAGAAGTGCCGGTGAACCAGATCCCCGCCAGGTTGTGGGGAAGGCAGCGAGTGAGTGAGCTAATGCGTTCGATTTGGCAACACTGCGATGTCAATCGCCGCCATCTGCTGGTACAGGCATTACGCACACGCTCGGACCGCTGAGACCAGGGCTGACCGCACACGAGCATCGACTCGCTCACGTAACAGATATCCAGTTCTAATGTTCCGATAGAATGTTGTCGGCGTGAGTGTGTCAGCAAGAGTGGACTCTCGCATACGCAAATGCACATCCACCTCACCGTTGCTCGACAACAACTGCAGTCCACCCTCGCCCATGCTGGGGGGCCGCAGCGCCCCCCATACCGCACTCATGACCACACACCAACCCCAACCGCCCACGACAAACCCGCCGCAAACCCCCGCTCCTCCTCCTCCTCCTCCTCCTCCGCCACCGCCTAAACGATACGATTCCCGCCAAAAACAGAAAAAAAAAAATGAACACACACAACACGTTTTAAGATTGTCAGATAATTTGTTACAAGCAGTTCTTCATCCCTCTCTCTCATTTCATTTCTCTCTCTCATTTTGCTCTCTCTCTCTCTCTCTCTCTCATTTTGCTCTCTCTCTCTATTCAATTTCTCTCTCTCTCTCTCTCTCTCTCTCTCTCTCTCTCTCTCTCTCTCTCTCTCTCTCTCTCTCTCTCTCTCTCTCTCTCTCTCTCTCTCTCTCTCTCATTTTTTGCTCTCACTCTCTGTCGAAGATGGTGCAGGCGTTTAATGCCCCGGGCTTGGTGGCGTTTGCGGCAGCTGTGCTCCGCCCTGGACTGGCGCGACCCGCGTTGAGATGTCAATGTAAGTCTGTTTGGAGGCATCCTTTTTGAATTGCACAGAGACAGAGAGGCTGCGGGTTTTTGATGCTGTCACTGTGAGCGCTCACATCGCGACTACAGCCATTGCCGATGTGGCCTCGGCTGCCCCAGCCGCCGATTATGATGTGTTGATATTTGACAAGGACAACTGCATTACCACGCCGTATGCCCTTGAAGCGCATCCAAGTGTGGCGTCAGCCTGGCAGGAACTGCGACAACGACCCCGCGTCTACATCCTCTCCAACTCGGCTGGCTCCAGCGACGACAAGGACGGCAGCGAGGCGCGTGCCGTGCAAACAGCCCTTGGTGTCCCCGTCATTCCGCACGCAGACAAAAAGCCGAGCCTTGAATGTTGTGCCGAGGTCATGCGCTACTTGGGCTCGGACATACAGCCCGACCGCATTGCGGTGATCGGTGATCGTGTATGTCGGCTTGCCTCTCGCGGCTCACAACAGCACTGCATCTTGTCCCCTGCTCGGCCTATGGCCAGTCAGGGGGGGTGTATGTCTAGTGTTGCACTGGTGTTTTGGTTTGTTTTGTTTTTTTGGCCTCTCACTTACTACAGGCCTCAGCCTCATATCTCGCTGGACGTTAGGTCTTGACGGATATTGTGTTTGCAAATCGATTGGGTGCAAAAGCCATTCTAGTTGAGCCACTCTCCACGCGCGAACCGTGGATTGTCCGTCAGGTCAGCGACTCATCGGCTATTTTGGAATGATTGGGGCATCCGGCTAGCGCATCTGCAGCAGGTTGTGGTTGCTCTCATGCGTCGCAAAACCGGCCCTTAGGTGCGCCGCCTCGAGGCGGCCCTGTTTCTGTAGGTCGCGGATACTTTTGTTTTAGACGTGTGAACAACCAACGTAGCAAGAATTTATAAGCGTCGAAGATCGCGCTCAACCTCTGCTGGGCTCAGTGACGTAAACACCTGCCCAAGCACGACTTCTCTCGCGGCAAGACCCGCTCTGGCCTGGCTGCCGTGGGCACCCTGGTACATGGACGGTGCCGGTGCAGCCAAATACGTCTCGAGTAGAGCCCGAAGAACGGGGGTGCGATGGCGACCCTGTCCCCAAATCCGATACAAAATGTGCAGGGCACGAATTTGCGTTGCTACGGCGACGGCATGGCTCGTGACCAGCGCAGCCATCCGTTTCAAGCACACGTCCACCCCAGGCCCTTGGTCATGAAGCATCAAGATTACAAAGCAGTCAAGTGGGTGCAGTTGGCCTACATGCAACCAAGACTTATCCATGGCCGTTTGTCGGCTCTGTGCCATGTTTGGACCAAACACCAGGGCTGCCAGCTGGCAGGGCGTGGCATCGCGGTGAGGCCTTGAGTCATTAGCACAGCGACAGGCACCCATACTCGGTGTGGGCTGAAGCAAGGCCAGTAAGCAGCGTTGGACGTGAACCGAAGGCAGCCAGTCCAGGGCGGCACGAGTGGTGGCGCACGTCTGCGTGAACCAGTCGTCGAAGTCGTGAGCAAGCACATGCCAGAGCAAGCAAAGAGGGTGAGCAGCGAGGCAGCGATGACCAACCCACCACCTTACCGCCCATGTGCCTTGTCCTGGAAGCAACTGGTCATGCTGACATGCTGCCAACTTCATCTAAAGTGCCATCAGGTCGACATACTCAGCGCCAACCGTGTGGGCATGCAACCACGAGCGGGCCACGGGTGCAACAAACCACTTGTTGCGAGAGTGCGTCGGGAGCAGGCCAGGCCACGCGAGCGCTCGTCCCCAGGACAGCAAAGGCGGCTGGAGCCAGATTCAAGGTGCTATGTAAAACTCCCGCAGGCAATACCATCATGTCACCTAATGGGGCAACGCGGCATGAGGATGCTCGCTGGTACATGCAGCAGAGGCGTGACGAGCTGCACCCCAAGATAGGCACACAAACAGCTTCTCACCCGGCCAGAGATCAATGCTGGTGATGTAACTCTTATACTTTGGATTCAAGTAGGCGCTTTGAAAACTGGCTGAAGTCAACTGATCCACGGCATATAAAGGGCGGTGGTGGCTCACCAGCCACCTGTGCATGCACATTGAGCGGTGGCGGCATGTGCAGCACGCCGAAGATGGAGGCTTTTGTGACTGACCGCTTTTTGCCAGTCAAAAGAACATTGCCCAGCACGGCATCATGCCAATGCCAGGGAAGTCCACAGCCCGTGCCGCCGACCCCCGCCTCGACCAGAGCCAGATCGCTCCTACCCGGACGCCGTGGTATGTGCGCAGGTGCCAGATGAGGTTTGTGTTCTCATGCCTGGCTCTGTTCAACGGAATGTGTGAGCGCGCACGCAAAAACATGTTCAAGGCGACAAAACCGATGGCCTACCGATTGTACAGTTGCTGCCAGTCTGCACGGGGTGGCAAGACGTCGTGGGCTTGAAGCTGCTGCAGAAACTCGTGGCCAAAAACGACGGCATTCTCATAACCTACGCAGGGGTAGGGGCGTGTCATCAACGACCGAGTTCCACTGCATGACCAGGGCCAAGCCTGGGTCGGGCTGCATCCGCAAGGCAGGCCAAACCTGGTCGGGTGGAGCAACCGGGTTGTTGGCGAAGATCGCCCAAGAGTCGGAAGCGGCGCCCTAGGGTTGTGCGAGTCCATTGAGCGCCGTCCATCAGCCCCCAACTAGCAAAAGAGCATTGGTAATTTGCAAAGGGACAAGACCTTGTTGTGCAAGCGCTGTGCTGTCCTTGATGGCCACCAATTGGTCGGTGGGCAGCTCACTGTAAAGCCGCTGGCGAAAAGCTGTCACCTGCTCTGGGGGCAAAAACTGACGAACCACGACGGCTTGATGGCCAGTCCAGGGCTGTGAAGCCCGCCATTCCTCGGCGTTGAGCACGGCAATCGACCCCAGCCCTGCTCCTGGCCTCCATGCACCTGAAAGAAGCAGTACCACCGCTCCCAGCCACCTCATCGCTGCATGAGGACGACCCCAGCAGCAGAGCAGAGCGCACACAAACTTCTCTCAAACAGCAAGATCAAAATTTTTGCATGCAACCAAAAAAATCAGGGTGAAAAATGTCACGCACTTTGAATGCCTCTCTCTCTCTCTCTCTCTCTCTATCTCTCTCTCTCTCTCTCTCTCTCTCTGCTCTACTCTCTCCCAAACTCTCTCTCTCAACCTCTCAACCTCTCTCTCAACCTCTCAACCTCTCTCTCTCTCTCTCTCTCTCTCTCTCAACCTCTCTCAACCTCTCTCTCTCTAAACCTCTCTCTCAAACTCTCGCGAAGAGTAAGTTTTTACGTGCTAGTATTCGCTAAGATCGATTGGCAGGTGGGTTTGACGCACAGCGTCGCGCCTGCGTAGCAGACCGGGTCACGGCATGGGCGGATTGGGAGAGCCACTCATGAAAGCATGGTCATGGTTTCGTCCTCATCCACCTCGGTGGCTGATTCGTCATGCAGAGGCGAATCGAGAGGCGAGATCACCCCGTCGCCAGGCTCATCGGCCACCAGCTCCTCACGTACCACCTCGGCGCCCGGCTCAAGTGAGGAAGTGACAGACGCCAATTCGGAGGCCTGTTCAGTGTGGGGGTTCTCATCCGAGTCGGACGATTCGGAATCAGCCCGACACTGAGGCGGGCGCGCTTCCGTGGCCGGCGGCAGAACGACGGCAATGGGTGTGGGACCTCGCTGAGGCGCTTCGTCGTCCGAGTCACTGATCTCTTGGTCGTCCATGGCAACGGCGTCGGTCGGCTGGCGCTGGCATGCGTCCATAAATGCTGCAAACTGCTTTTCTTCGTGGCGTAGCATGGCCCGGTTTAGAATGTCGATGACACGACGCTGGTACTCCATTTCGCGCTGGATGGCAACCTGCTGTGCGATGCGCCGATCATCAGCCTCGTTTTTTTGTGCTGTCGCGCGAGCTTTTTGAGCCAGCTGCTGCCGTTCAGCCGCTATCTTCTGCAAGAGCTGTCAGAGTTGAGCTGTATATGAGTTGATCTACGTGACAGCCTACACATGGTGTCAGCAGCATAAAGTTGGCGTACCTTGGCCACATGGACCTGGGCCGAGGCGTCGCACAACGAGGGAAAAGCCACGGTATCCCAATATTCCGAGTCGGGCGTTCCTAAAACCCACGCACACGCACACACGCACACACGGAAGTGAGACAACATGATGGACAACAGCGTTAAGCTGCTTCGGGATGAGGCGCCAGCAATCACCCAAAGTACGCCGGTGCGTGTACAAACCAGGGGGAGGGCTGGGCAACGCTCCAGGTTTAGTGCGACCAGCGTGCCCCAGCACGCAGCGGCGGGGAGTTGTGCGTGGTGGCGCCATGGGTCGCGCTTCTGATCACAAGAACAATGGCCGGTGGCGTAAGAAGCAACGGAGCGACAGGGTATGACGTCGTGAGGCAACAATGGATCAGGTAACGATCGCAACGCACCAGCGCGGCGGGCCACGATGCGTGCAGCTGCGGCAGCCGGAGCCTCGCGAGCTGATCCCAAATCATCTAGGCTTGATCGTGAGAGGGTCGCGGATTCGGCTTGGTTGGTGCGCAACAGTGGCCGTCGGACTGTTGGGGGCGGCCGTGCGGTCATGGCCAAATGCGCAACTTTCTTGCGGCGCGGCGACCCGCTTCCTAGCACAGGTGGCGAGCTGGTAGCCAACGACGTGGAGGCTGTTCGTCGGATGGGTGAGCGCGCCCCCCTGCCTGCACCAGGGCTAGTCGAGCGGCATTTACGGCTCGGGGATGATCGAGTGGAAGACATTTTGCTGCTTGTCACCGAGACAGGCCGTTGCACGAGAGATGGAGCTGGACGACTACGCGCAGACGAACGTCGCTTGGGAGAGCTTAGGGAGGGACGGCGCAGGCTCGCGGGCGCCGAGGAACCTGATGCCCCCATGCCATAAAGGGACATGTCCTCGAGATACGGCAATGGCGATGAGGCCATGGAAGGATCTGGTACCGTGACCGCAGCGGCTGCCATGATGTGATTAGGTGGCCTCGCCTCGGCCTCGTGGATGACCATGCCGCTAATATTCAAACCCAAATCCGCCATGATGCCCGCTTCCTCACGAGGGCCAATCCCACCAAGATCAAACTTGGTGAGTACAAGGCATTTGGACCACACGAATCCGCACCCGCACCCTGCTAATCCAGCAAAGGATAGTGACGCCCCGCTCCAACTCTTCACTGCCCCACGAGCGACGCCGCCACTGCCATCCTGCTGCTGCTGAACATCAATCGATTCAACGCGATGCGCGATGCCGAGGATTGAAAAACACACACACACACACACACACACACACACACACACTTTTGTTGTTATGCGGTAGTGTGGGCTTTGACACACATTCATCTCCCAAGCTCTCTCTCTCTCTCTCTCTCTCTCTCTCTCTCTCTCTCTCTCTCTCTCTCC